TTGGTGAAGATCATTTGCAGACGACCTTTCAATAGATGGAGCCTCTTCTTCTGGCGGTTTAGTTCCACCCAAATACGTTTTATATAGTGGTTGTGTTAGTGATCTCCTATTTGTTATATCAGTACCACGTGTTTACCGTGAATGTGCCTGTTTTTCTGTAATCTAGCTCTTTAAAACTAATAGTGCCTGTCAAAATTAGAAAGAGTGGAGTCAGATGACGGATTAAACTGATATTGAGGGTCTAAATTGTTGAAAGCTCAGAGACGACTGAATAAAATCCAAATTGGTTCATATGAATGTCAAAATCCATATTGGGGAAATACACGAATATAACTCAGCTTCGCTGTTATCTGTAACTCTTTAATGGAAATGAGACCGTTTCGCTGTTATCTGTAGCTCTATGGTGGGAATGAGACCGCTTCGCTGTTATCTGTAGCTCTATGGTGGAAATGAGACCGCTTCGCTGTTATCTGTAGCTCTATGGTGGAAATGAGTCCGCTTCGCTGTTATCTGTAGCTCTATGGTGGAAATGAGACCTCTTCGCTGTTATCTGTAGCTCTATGGTGGAAATGAGACCGCTTCGCTGTTATCTGTAGCTCTATGGTGGAAATGAGTCCGCTTCGCTGTTATCTGTAGCTTTATGGTGGAAATGAGTCCGCTTCGCTGTTATCTGTAGCTCTATGGTGGAAATGAGTCCGCTTCGCTGTTATATGTAACTCTATGGTGGAAATGAGACCTCTTCGCTGTTATCTGTAGCTCTATGGTGGAAATGAGACCGCTTCGCTGTTATCTGTAGCTCTATGGTGGAAATGAGACCTCTTCGCTGTTATCTGTAGCTCTATGGTGGAAATGAGACCGCTTCGCTGTTATCTGTAGCTCTATGGTGGAAATGAGTCCGCTTCGCTGTTATCTGTAGCTCTATGGTGGAAATGTCACAGAAAATAAGCCCACGTAACTGTAATATTGCACTATCGTGAAAATAACCCCGTGTAGTTGTTATCTCAATTTCAGTGTATTTCACTGTTTTAACAAAATCAGCCATGAAAGATGTAATATCTCTTTTTTAAGACAATAAGCCCATGTAGATGTAAAACCGCTGTATAAGGGATAATAAGCCAGTGTATTTGTTATATAGCTGTCTCGAGAAAATAAGAACGTGTAGATATAATCTCGCTGTTTCAAGGAAATAAGCTCGTGTAGATTTAGGGTTGTAAGTCAGTAATCTGCTGACCTATCCTCGGCCATTCTCACAGTAGAAGGGTTAGTAAGTACTAACCATTTACTTTAGTAGTAAAAGGTGCTTTAGACTCGAGTGTCTAGTGGCAGTAATTACAATGACTGAGGTATTTGATGCATGGCTAAGTGGTCACTTAAAGTCCAGCCTACGGACAAGGGAAATGAACAGTCAGATATAGACAACTTTTTCCACGAACCGTTGTAACTCGAAGTGACCTTTTCTAAACCGATAACACGGAAGCAAACGCAAAGAAGGAAAATAGTGTGAGGTAAATTGATCCTGAATCGACGTTATCATAGATAAAAGGCATATCTTTTAACACACCTACAGTCGATAATTCAGCTGTTATTGTTTTATAGGGCTTTCTGGATAACCAATCAACCTTTTCAACGACACGAGTCTGTATGTGTAAGTACACCAACTTCCCTATTACACTAAGTACATCAACTTCCCTATTACACTTAGTACAAGAACATTCCCTATTACACTAAGTACACCAACTTCCCTATTACACTAAGTACACCAACTTCCCTATTACACTAAGTACACCAACTTCCCTATTACACTAAGTACACTGACTTCCCTATTACACTAAGTACACTGACTTCCCTATTACACTAAGTACACCAACTTCCCTATTACACTAAGTACATCAACTTCCCTATTACACTAAGTACATCAACTTCCCTATTACACTAAGTACACCAACTTCCCTATTACACTACTAAGTACATCAACTTCCCTATTACACTAAGTACACCAACTTCCCTATTACACTAAGTACATCAACTTCCCTATTACACTAAGTACACCAACTTCAACTTCATCAACTTCCCTATTACACTAAGTACACCAACTTCCCTATTACACTAAGTACATCAACTTCCCTATTACACTAAGTACACCAACTTCCCTATTACACTAAGTACACTGACTTCCCTATTACACTAAGTACACTGACTTCCCTATTACACTAAGTACACCAACTTCCCTATTACACTAAGTACATCAACTTCCCTATTACACTAAGTACACCAACTTCCCTATTACACTAAGTACATCAACTTCCCTATTACACTAAGTACACCAACTTCCCTATTACACTAAGTACATCAACTTCCCTATTACACTAAGTACACCAACTTCCCTATTACACTAAGTACATCAACTTCCCTATTACACTAAGTACACCAACTTCCCTATTACACTAAGTACACCAACTTCCCTATTACACTAAGTACACTGACTTCCCTATTACACTAAGTACATCAACTTCCCTATTACACTAAGTACACCAACTTCCCTATTACACTAAGTACACCAACTTCCCTATTACACTAAGTACATCAACTTCCCTATTACACTAAGTACATCAACTTCCCTATTACACTTAGTACAAGAACATTCCCTATTACTATTAGTATGATAAAATTGTCTCTCTTCGAAGAAATTAATACAGAAATTAAATAAACAAATCAGGTGAATTATGAAAACAAATACAATGTAGACGGAATGAATGAATGAATGAATGAATGAATGAATGAATGAATGGATGGATGGATGGATGGATGGATGGATGGATGGACGAATGAATGAATGATTGAATGAATGAATGAATGAATGAATGAATGAATGAATGAATGAATGAATGAATGAATGAATGAATGAATGAATGGATGGATGGATGGATGGATGGATGGATGGATGGATGGATGGACGAATGAATGAATGAATGAAGGAAGGAAGGAAGGAAGGAAGGAAGGAAGGAAGGAAGGAAAGAAGCGAAACTTGCCTTTGATGACATAATGCAAATAATTATTTACTATCATTTACTAACATGCAAAGCATTTTCATAAGGTATATGTATATAAGCTATATTATTCTTCATGTTTTTTTTTTATATATTTGCAACTAGTATATCTGGTTTGTTGAATATTTGACACAGTAGACACAAATTTTGACGCTACAGTTTATATAAGGTGTTGATCTTGTTATTGTATTCGTACAACTATTACGGCATAACTTAGCGCTGTGAGATTACGATCTGACAACTATTATATTGAAAATTTTGAAATTTAGTAGTTTGCCAAATCTTTTCGTCTTTGTTTGTCGTGATTGAATTATTAAACATTCGCCGATGGTGAAATATTGATTGATTTTGAAATTCATATCTTTGACATGATCGTGTTGTATCGTTATGGAATGACGATCTTGCTCTGCACAAAATAGCAATGGGATTTCGTGCTTCACGTCTTCAAAACACATTTAAGGATGAATTAATTCATTCAGATGTCATATTATTACTTTGTCTCATTCTGGAATGAACATGCTATTAGCTTTGTCTGTAATTTGAACCTCGAACGTGTGCTTTTAACCTCGACAATTGTAAGCGTGATATCATTAAAAAATGAGCTCACACCACCCCGACTTCGTTAATCACATGAATCGCTGTTGCTTCGTAATAACATAATAATCTTTCATTCTGTTTATGAAAATTTATACGAGTCTGTCACTGAAGTATTACACAACGTACTTAATCATAGATGTTTCTCTGTCAATACATCGTCATGGTTTCTTAGTTAATCTTACAATCTGCAGATCAAATCTAACTTCATATCAATTTCAATTTTTGGATTTTTAATTTTCTAAGCAGCACATTTCTAATTTGTAACATGTAAAGTTATTTTTCATAAAATCTGAAATTCCATTAAATGTGAAACAAACCAAAACCAAATTTGGGACAGCATGGAAAGTAACAAGTCCGAAACCAAGAAACATATTTCATGTCAGTCTTATTCAGTAACCAGTGCTCTCAAAGCTTTCCATTCCAATCCACTTTCTCATACATAGAATAGTACGGCAATGAGTTACACCAATTTCTTATGTCATTCCAATAACGCCCTTCTCAAGCAGCAGGCTTGTTCTCAAAAGATAGCGCGGCTGTAAATTTTTTTTATCAGCGACTCCTGAAGGAATACAGGCAACAACACGAGGTATTTGAATTTTCCATTAATCGCCTGTTAATTTCACATAGTTTTCTGATTAAGCACGTTACTTGGAGATAACAATTGTGGGACACTTGATTCAGCCACTGCGTCGCCCGAATTCCTTACACTTGTCACGACCCTTGACCGCCTGTAACGGGATCTAAATGACCGGGCTTATCTGCCAACAAATCCCAACTTTGTTGACGATGTCAACTTGACGCTTTGTTTACGGGAAAGTAATAAGTAAATGAAATTATTTTTATTGCCTTTTATAAAAAATAATGTACATGTTGATCTTTATTACTGGTGAAGTTAATAGTCGTCAACTTACTCTGTAGAAATATTATCCATGCCTGTTTGTTATTATATACAGTAGGACGATTGATTTTGTTTGCTTTAAAAACATGTCTAACTTTGATTCTTTGTAAGCTGTGGTATTGGGTTACTGGACAATGAGTGCCAGGTGAAGGGCGTGGGTTACTGTGGCTGGTAACATGGCTTACGCCTATGGTCATTGGCCGTCAAATGTCGTACTCAACGAGGCCTGTCGGACAGTCTCCCTCCCTAATATTGACCTTTGACCTGACTGGATGTGGAAAGAATTGTGATCTCCAGTATCTTTGGTTGAGCTAGGGTTTGATTTGTGTGTTTACCCGCCCACATTATACATGTATACGTACTGAGGCCAGACACAACTGCTGGCCAACTTCACGCCAGCATTAACCCCTTACAGTGTGTGTCTGGGTAGGACCGCCACTACATCGATACTACTCATAATGGATATATTGATACCTCTAGCCTCGATTTTAGGGTTATTAATCCTTCATGTGGATGGTCGTTCATCTTGTGTGCGTATCGCCCAAAATAGTACATGTCAACAGTTTTATTATCATTTCGATAAGGAAGGTAGCATATCTAAAAACCAAAGTAACATTTTCAACGTTACTGCAAAACTGCGAAACTCCAAACGAGAATTTTTCGATGCATTTTTCTGTGTTGTGTTTTATCCGCCTTGTGGTGCCAGTGTTGACTACCTGCTTCCAAACGTCAGAAAACAAAATGTGGTGCCATGTCAGGAATTCTGTACAGCCACCTGGAAACTGTGGCGTCGGATGTTTATAAAGAAGAAGATTCCAAAAGGGTCGATCTGGCCGTGGGGACTCAGGTGCGAGAGCTTTCCGAGGAAAAACTGTATCAAGCGTTCAGGTACTTTTGATTTGATCGAAATATGCAAAAAATCGTATGTCAACTGACTAGGTGCTTTGAAAGCTTGACACACAAATATCATAACATTAGGTAACGAAGTCTTCAAAAGATTTGTTAAGTTTACAAATATTTTATTGTAATACAAATGTTAATAAATGAACATGTAAATGAATAGGTTTATACATAAGATAAAACGTATGAATCAGTATTAAAGATGTTTATGACCCAACTTGAGAGAAGTTTAAGCAGTAGTAAATTGGTGGGAGGAACGGATTTGATGTTAGATTTATAAATTTATTTCGTCAACTGATTTCTCTTACATTCACTGTCAACATAAAATGCCAGCTGGAAATAACAATTTTCACGAGCCTGCTGACTTTAGAATATAATATTATGGTAGTAGGCTGACCTATTTTCATCGTTTTATTTGTTTCTTTCTTATTGTGTAGATAGGCTTCACCTTGCACCTTTTATAAATGTATTATTACCGATGCCTGTTTACTCCACGTGCAATGCACGCGCGTTAAAGATAAGGGTTGATCGGGGCCATCTGACCACAGAGGTTGGGCCCCGCCTGCCAGTCAACAATAGCCGACTGGAAAGATTAGTATAACACACACAAATATATCATCTTTATAACTAATCAAGTTCCTTAATACTACCGAACATGTGTTTCACTTCGTGTGTCCCGTGGGCTCGGCAATACAGAAAACAGAGAAGGCACGCCTCCATGACTTAATTCCCCATTTTCCATCGCGGTGCAATGGGCATCATCTAATTTTTCACACTGACGATAATGTGTCGTGGGAACGATAGATCCTGACGAAAAATGGTCATTTAAAGCACGTCAGGATACATTAAAATTTTGACTGGTTATAGTGCTGTTAAAATGAATGAAAATAAAACCACATTAAATCATTGTTGTCGTGACTGGATTTTCAAACGTATCCATTTCATTTACAAAAAATCAAAATAGGTACGTTATATTATCTGAATATTGGGGTAAGGGCAAGATTATTTGGGTCTGTCGTATCTTATTCTATCGAAAAGTGATTTTCGCTTTTGTGTCTTTTGTACAATCTTTTTATTCACAAGAAAATGTTCATTTGATATCAACATTATTCAGCATAGTTATGATGTTGAGAGACCAGTACACACCCGCGCGTGCACACTTTATAACATAGCCAGAAAGAAAGCCCCGGATGTGTCTTAAATAAACTCTATGTTTGTGATAAGTACTAGTGTCAGTCAGTACTTTTGGTATTGTAAACAGACAATCCATGGAGTCCATTAGATCCCCACGGGACAAGAGAGTTGTTGTGATAGCCTTAAGACGTAGAATAAATAATGTTGAAATCATGTACGACTGTAAAAATAACACGTATTTCGTCATTATGTTTTCACTGCTCAAGACTGAATATACAAGTGTATCAATGTTGATTTTTCTTACTGAGTCGAATACGAGACTTAATCTTCAGTATTCCTTTATTTATGATAAACCTTACTTTTGCAGGAAGGTCAGCTTTGCAGTATGCTTTTCATATTTTATTTCGACTCTTCGACAATTAAGGGGCAAAAATTTGGGGTGTGCTGGGGCGTATAATAAACATTTTGTTTTCAAAAGCTTTTACAAGTTCAATGTTTAAGCGAAAATGATAGTTTTTGTATTCTCTACTAAAACGTTAAATAACCGGGAAAATGTCAGAATGGGATAAAGTATACACAGGTCATAGTCACACAATGTATTTCTGTTCTGCTTTCATTTCAAAAAAATTAAAATTACCTAAAACCTTCTATTGACTAACCTTGAGATAACCTTGACGACAACTATTACTACGGCAAAGATAGAGCAATCTTTACCTGGCAAAATGCTGACGTTTTAGAACCAGGGATGGTCTTGTCACGAAGTTCCAACAGGGTAAAATAATGTACGAGGGGAGGCCAAGGAGGTCTCATCTATCACGTTTAATATTGAGCTTGTTGGAACTTCAACTTTATACTTATTTTACGTCCATACGCATTGTCCCCCGAATATCCTTTGATTCCACACAAAATTTGATGTTTTGAACAACATGACATTAGCATGACATTAAATTAAGTTGTCGGTTTAAAGAAAAAAAATTCGGATTTGCAGAAATGATTTTTCTATTTGTTTATTACAGTTATCACTGATCTCTAACCATTGATAATAAATACGATATGACATGCCCATAGTGAAAAATGTCTTTAAATGTCAGGTTATGACAACATGAACAGCTGATATAAATTTGCGCCCTCAGGAAGCGGATGTCTATATACTTAGTACCTTGAAAAATTACAATTACAGTTCACTAAGATATAGATTTTTTGGGAATGTCTATTACGTCTCATTAAACTCTCAAGTTTTACAATAAAATAATATCTAGAAATACCAATAAGAGCTAACGGAAGATTCAGAAATAAAATCTTCCTTGTACCTGAAGTCTCCACATGTGTATCAAAATCACGATCTCACTGGTCAAGAATTCTTCCTCGTCCAGCTGATCACCAGGTTTTTTAGTACTGAGTGGGGTCACGGCATTTCCTTCTCTTTTTCCCTGACATCTGCATTACTCCAATTTCAGCAGTGTCAATGGTTTCATCCTTCGGTCTACTGATTTTGATAGGACTTCTATATCCGTGACAATATCCGCGCCGGAGTATTAACTGTATTTCGTTCCCGTCTGGAGATCGTATTCACAGATTACCAGGAGAAGTCCTAAAACAGATCATTAATATACTTCTTATTTAGCCTCTGTTCTTATTTGACCTCTGACCTGTTGGAAACACTATCGTTTACCTTAACTGTTAACTCTGTGATTTGGACGAAATATTTTCGGCGATTTTGCTTATTCACCATATAATAATATAGTGATGACATTGTATTGCATTAGTAATGTTTATCATTATCTCAGATAAGATCAATATTCTTCATTATCATCAGGAAACCCCTATTTACACATTGTTCCAAACAATCAAAATAGTTATTTTCCTTTTTTTCTCGTGATATGAAATTGGAGGTTTTCGATGCACTTTTGTTCTTCTGGTGCTTTTTGTTTTTATATTAGGGAAAGAAATGAGTAATGTTTATGTAAATTGGTAAAGATTTACGTGGTGGATGTCGTCGAAGAAGTACTTACGATAAAAGAATTTAAAAATATTCCTTGATTCAAGTTATGGTCAGATTGCCTGCCACTTGTGTCAATGGTATAAAAAAAATTATTGTGAATTTGTTGTTTAAACACTTCAAAAAGGGGATAAATTTAGTGACTGCTGGCCGACAACGTATCCTAGCTTTAGATTTGCCGATCGAAGAGCACTGAAGCACCCCTCCATCTGGAGAATTTAACATTTCTTTTCATGACTTTGAACTTACCACGGTTGCTTCCTAGATATAGGCCCTTAGCATCAGTGACGAGTCCTAGAAGGACGAGACAGCTGTATAATGAAGCATCAAAGACGAGTCCTTGAAGGACGAAGCAGCTGTATGATGTAGCATCAAAGACGAGTCTTAGAAGGACGAGACAGCTGTATGATGTAATATCAATGACGAGTCCTAGAAGGACGAGACAACTGTATGATGTAGCATCAATGACGAGTCCTAGAAGGACGAGACAGCTGTATGGTGTAGCATCAATGACGAGTCCTAGAAGGACGAGACAACTGTATGATGTAGCATCACAGACAGGTCCTAGAAGGACGAGACAACTGTATGATGTAGCATCAATGACGAGTCCTAGAAGGACGAGACAACTGTATGATGTAGCATCAATGACGAGCCCTAGAAGGACGAGACAACTGTATGATGTAGCATCAATGACGAGTCCTAGAAGGACGAGACAACTGTATGATGTAGCATCAATGACGAGTCCTAGAAGGACGAGACAACTGTATGATGTAGCATCAATGACGAGTCCTAGAAGGACGAGACAACTGTATGATGTAGCATCAATGACGAGCCCTAGAAGGACGAGACAACTGTATGATGTAGCATCAATGACGAGTCCTAGAAGGACGAGACAACTGTATGATGTAGCATCAATGACGAGCCCTAGAAGGACGAGACAACTGTATGATGTAGCATCAATGACGAGTCCTAGAAGGACGAGACAACTGTATGATGTAGCATCAATGACGAGTCCTAGAAGGACGAGACAACTGTATGATGTAGCATCAATGACGAGCCCTAGAAGGACGAGACAACTGTATGATGTAGCATCACAGACAGGTCCTAGAAGGACGAGACAACTGTATGATGTAGCATCAATGACGAGTCATAGAAGGACGAAACAGCTGTATGATGTAATATCAATGACGAGTCCTAGAAAGACGAAACAGCTGTATGATGCATTTATATTTATTATTAGCTCAACTGTACCTAATTCTGAATATGTATTTGAAGATACTGTTAACTGGTATGTCTTTTGTAAAACCTTTCATTGTGAGAAAATGGAAATTTTGACAGATCAACACAATGTTAATACAGACCCAAAAGCAACAACTGAAAGCAAAATATGATAACGAAAATTACATTAAAATAATTAAAGAAATATCAAATATGATAAGATTTACATTATTTTGATTTTGGCGTCACTCCTTCGCAATTGGCACCATTCGTTTATGAAATCTATAGACATTAAAATGCTGACAATGGTACCTGTATACCTTCTCCAGTTGTACAGAATAGTTTATACGTAGCCAACAATCTTATAACTAGGTGAGAAATAAAGACTTTGTTGGGGAAACTGATTATGCATAGTCTCGTATGGTCTCGTTTTTATCGTAATTGTTGGTAGATAGCTTCTGTTTCAATCATCAGAACCAATAATACAGTATTCTGTGTTGTTTAAGTTACAACATGCAGATCCCATGTGCTCATATTTAAATTGCATCCATGACACTTGTTCGCTTTGTTTACAATCATGCTCACACAGGTGTATGCAGGTTTTCAGTATTTTGCCTCTGGCCTGTTCGCTGCCGTTTACAGTTTCTACAGTATTTGTATCGTTATGATTCCTGATCTTCTCTCCAATGTAACTTCTTATCTTGAATTTGTATATAATGTGTTGCCAAACCACTTTAGGTTCAGGTACATCGTGAAAGCCTTTATCACCAGACCTTTACCATGGAAACTTCCATGTATATTTAACTATTGTAGATCACGGCATATGGAGATACGTCCACAAACATTCCCAAAACGACAATGTGATTCCGATTTTGAGGGACGACGATGATGAAATTGATGACATACCACCACGGTCGACATCCCAAACCATTCATCCTCGTCGGTATGACGTTATAGACCAAGGTGACAGCAAGTTGTTCCGGGGTTGGGCCGACATTCAAGGAACTGGTGCCGCGAATGATTACTGCAGGTATCTGTTTATATTATCAATTAATGTAGTGATTGACTACGGCGATTATCTCTTAACGTTATCAATTAATGTAGTGATTGACTACGGCGATTATCTCTTAACGTTATCAATTAATGTAGTGATTGACTACGGCGATTATCTCTTAACGTTATCAATTAATGTAGTGATTGACTACGGCGATTATCTCTTAACGTTATCAATTAATGTAGTGATTACGGCGATTTAACGTTATCAATTAATGTAGTGATTGACTACGGCGATTATCTCTTAACGTTATCAATTAATGTAGTGATTGACTACGGCGATTATCTCTTAACGTTATCAATTAATGTAGTGATTGACTACGGCGATTATCTCTTAACGTTATCAATTAATGTAGTGATTGACTACGGCGATTATCTCTTAACGTTATCAATTAATGTAGTGATTGACTACGGCGATTATCTCTTAACGTTATCAATTAATGTAATGATTGACTACGGCGATTATCTCTTAACGTTATCAATTAATGTAGTGATTGACTACGGCGATTATCTCTTAACGTTATCAATTAATGTAGTGATTGACTACGGCGATTATCTCTTAACGTTATCAATTAATGTAGTGATTGACTACGGCGATTATCTCTTAACGTTATCAATTAATGTAGTGATTGACTACGGCGATTATCTCTTAACGTTATCAATTAATGTAGTGATTGACTACAGCGATTATCTCTTAACGTTATCAATTAATGTAGTGATTGACTACGGCGATTATCTCTTAACGTTATCAATTAATGTAGTGATTGACTACGGCGACTATCTCTTAACATTACAAGTCAACGTATTGAATGATTGACATTTTCCGAGACAGTTGCCGTTTTTCAACTCGTTTCGATACATAACACTAGCAATAAAGCATAGTAGTTATATGATGTCATGCGCTGAATACTTAAACAAAGACAATAACACTGCTTATACGATTTTATTCTTATGTAAAATAAAATTTCTTCTTCATCGCACCAGTACTAGAATACATGTTGAATTTGAACGGATCTTTTCTCATAGCTGCCTTGCTCATGATATTGTCTGATTTCTTCCGTTGATCAGAGTTATAGGCAAACGGAAGAAACAGTTTTTGTCTTGTGCGTTGGCTGGCAGTATTGGACAGGATCACATGTATGTGTCAAAGATGGGATTCGATGCTGGACTAAAGGACACGTGGTACATGCGTGACGCAGACAATGATGGGAGGGATGATTACTGCCGGTAATATATATTACAGTATTGTGATCATACGACGTTCTGTTATATCAATATTTTATGATGTAGATGTAAAAATGTTATGGTATTTTTTAAAAGACATTTATCGCTCTGTTTTTCAATACAATTTAATAACACCATATGTAAAGTTTACTGAAGTTACGATTTCTAAACACGCCAGAAATCCTTATAAGAACCTATCTGGAAACTGATCACACACTTTCATAGAAACGTCATGTTCAAGTTTTAACCATCGATTGTTATTTGTATGTAAGACCAGTTTTATTGATAAAGGACATTAACTACCTGTATCCCATATGATAGGTATCTGTCATCATAATGTGGACAGAAGCACTCAATATAAATTCCAATTCCTGAAAAACAAATATACTATTTCATATTCTATACTAGGAAATCGGTTTACAAAGCAGCAACGGAATGGACAGGTTTTATGAGCCTTTATAAACATATGTTAGTTTGAAACTTTAACAAAGAATTACACTAGAAAAAATTGCGAGAAGGACTTATCAAAAACATTTAATCCCGTAAGGAGTCTTGGTTTCCTTAGAAGCCTAATGCCTTCTCCGCTATCGTCTTATTCTTATATTACAGGTGCGTGGGAAACAGTACCTCCTCCAGGATATCTTGTATGAAGGCGGAAAGCGAAGGTTTCCGGAGCAGTCCATTAGTGGGCGGAAGTCAATATTCATTTGATTTGATAGGTTCCGATGGATGTTTCGGACAGGAAGTGAACCCTTTTACAGGCTTATAAAACAATGTCCAGTGTGATTTTAAGAATTAGTCGTTGTTATGTGCTGTATTTCTGGATCAGTGCGCGACGAATGACAGAACTGTTGAGTATATTTATGACTGACTGATTATAAAAATCAAAACATAGATCATATATTATCTTATACTGTTAAGGCTATTAATTTCGATGGTCCAAATTTCCGCAGTTTGTGAAACATTTTAATTTTCGCGAAAGTCATGAAACGGAAACTGGCTTAAAATACTTATAAAATTCACTTAATTTCAAGGTATCGTATTTTCGATATTTCATTCCATTCTCGACAAAATCGATAATAATGAACTCGAAATTACAACGTTTACGGTATTTCTATGTACAGTTTGTATAAATATTTTATTGTTATTTATTTAAAGCTTTTACATGAAATGATGATTCAATTGTACATACAACAATAATGACAATAAAACATACCACGTTTACAGTAGTTTCTAGTTAAATAAAGAAACTATACTACACAAGGTTTCCGTACAACGAAAAATTCATAAGTGATGATTATAACGATGAAATCAACAAATGCATTAGCTGTAACTACGAAAATAACACACAATGTAACAGAATTAAATTATACCGTATCTATGTAAGTACTAGTTATAATGAAGATTACACAAAGTACACACAAGTGAGTAGTACCTTTTAACACATATTAAGAATTTCACTAAATCCAAATAATTAATCATACAGCTGTTTCTATCTTCTATGTCAAATACCTGTTTGGGAGGTACATAGACCCACAAAGTTAAATGAATCTCATAACTTTCAATATAGATCATTTCGAAAGAGAGCACGCGCCTGTATTCTGAAATGTGTCACCATTCGAATGAATTAAAAAGCGACATGCGGTTTGCAGCAAACTTCTGGGTCTACAAAATCTACCATCAGTGTCTACCACCTGTAACATCGTGCATAGACATACAAGTAAATAGTATACTGTAATATAGAATAAGACAGAGTTTTGTCGGATAATGAATGATAAATAATAAAGCATAATAAAGAGACACTGACTATACAATTATGTTTGCTTGACTATTGTACAAAAGACAAATAAGTGAATAGCACCATTAAATACAAAACATCAGATACAAAAGAGCCAAAAAATGGATTAAACTGCATCATACAATATCTATCACCTCTATGAAGATAGGTAAAATCAGAGAGTATCACAATGTTTGTAAAAAGTAAGCAGTGCTATTCTTAATTTGTCACAAATCTTATCAGTAATTTACAAACAGTATTGGTGTACATTACGAGTAATGTTTATAACTAAATCAAGACTCAAAACTATAGTTTTTTCACGTTACCAACTTTTATCTAATGAAATAATTAAGTGACTATGCAATTGAAATTTGATTGACACTTTATATATATAAAATGATCAACCATTTTTTGCACATTTTGTAACTATTCAACCGTGAAACTACTCGTTACGACATGAACGTTAGATGTCACAACTTATAATATCATTCATGTTTTATATCAAACATGTGATAAGATGTAAAATGACCGTGCATATGCATTAAGGAATGGTTCATCCTGACAACTACTGTAATAAACAGATGTAGGTAATCGTTCATTTCTAATTCAACAGAAAATCTTAAATAAAGCAAATAACATCAACTATTGTATGAGACAAGAAAGATAACTCTTCTATGTACAGCACGAGACATACTCGTAAAGAAATAAGAAGAAAAAAAATACTTATATGTGAACATAATCAGAGTCCAAACTCAAATTCAATAAAATCAAAGCAAAATATCAACAAAAGAAAGATTTAAACCGGGACTCCTGACAAGTACTGAGAAAGCAAAAAAACCAGGTGTTCCGGAAGAGTAAGCGTCTCTATTCCGCCATGTAAATCTTCAGTTACGTAAGTGATGTCACGTTTTCAAGTGAATACAAGGTATACAACGACAGCACCAACAGGCACACTGACGAGCACCAACACAACCAGCTTCATTTCGCGCAAATAAAATAAAATATTTCTCAATGAGATCATTTTGGCGACCATAAAACTTCTGTGGGATTTTCATTGACATATTCACATGATAGTATTTTCTTGTTATTTCATACAATTCGTTGCAAGAAAGGATTGAGATAAATGGCTGATGTAGACAAGACGTCATTAGTACTTCTGAGAGTGAAATTAAACGACCTTTGTCTTTGTGACCTGTTTTGATAAGCTCTTCAATAAATTCAGCCTCGTATGGAAACAAGAAAAAATAACTCCCGAGAAATTACCATTATTCAACCGTGATAAACAGGCCGGAACGATAAGATAAATAAGTTACACAAAACATCCACATTTTAAACATTTTAAAAGAATCCAATTGAACATAACTGAAACAGTAAACTACATCCTTGTACGTTATATGACAGCAGATAAAGACAAATCGCATATAAGTGAGATACATTTGTTATTGAAAATTGTAACATACATTTTAGGAACGTATATATCGCAAAAACAAATTCACAAAATGTACATCCAACATAGGACCTGAGGCAAACAACACAGATGACCAAACAATGAGAGTTATACACTTACGATGAATGTAATGTATGGTTCTATCTTTATCATACATACCTAGCTATCATAACTGAGTCTATCAGCCGAGTTATCACTTTAACAACAATTCAGACGTAGAGCAGGTAAGCAGAGGTCCTGAGATGACCGATATTCTCAGTGTTAAAAAGGGCATTAAACTCGGTAGTATCACGGTTGACTGAACAATTTTGTGATTTTTTATTGTTTAATATTGAAATGTAAATGACAAATCATTGGCATTACGATGTACAAATACACCAAATTTGTTCCCCTTTCTAGACTAGTAGATATATTCAAAGTTGACGTAGAAATATAATTGTCAATAACGTTAACATGATCAATCACATGCATATATAACACACAAAATATGTTCATGATAAATAGGAAGTCCATAGAAAAAAGCTTTGTTTATAATCTGCTATTACCTAGTGTATGATCACCAGGGGCGGAACTAGCCCAGCAGAAATGTGTAAGCCCAGGCGAGGGTTCTGAATTTGATTATTTCAAAGATGTTTTGAATCGTTTTCTGAGAGAGTTTTTTTTTTATTTAACAACAAACTTCAACCCCTGATATTTATTTTCAACCTTAGTTTTGTAATTTTGTCCAACATATGCACTTTTTCTTTCTATGGAAGCTACGCCCCTGATCATGACACGACAAGTGTGCATTTGAGAACTTTCTGTTTTAGTTCTCAACTAAGCTTACGATACGATAACGACAAAAATGAAACTTTTTCATATAATGTAATCACGTGTTATGTAATTCTGTTTCTTCCTGGTCGATTTCCACCCAAGCGAGATTATCAGGGGTATCGGTTCTCTAGACCTTAATTACTTGATGTTCAATTTTAAACTAGACGAATATAAGAATAGGTTGGCCCATTGTTGGTGTAATATGACCAGAGTGAATGCATTTTTCATTTTGCTAGTTTTTCAAACTGCCCTTCTGTGGTCCTCACTTGATATTATCGATTGCATGTAACCCTCACACAAATAACAAAACAAATATATGTTTGTTTTTTTTATAATAGAAATATACAACAGAGGTAAACTATATTATCCAGGATATCAAAAATAATGCCAATTACATCTTAATTATTTTCATATCCCCACTGCTAGTAATCATTGTAAAATTAATATTTTCAGGGGCTACGTTGTCGTCGATAAATAATACTCACGAAGTTCATGATACATTTTCATACAAGTAGTTGGTAAGAGTCCAGATATATTCTATCAGGAGTGATCATACAAACACTTACTCTCATGGAATCACCAACTTTTATGAAATGGAATGACCCATGTAACAGTTTACTTGCCTAAACTGATGATGAATGAACACAAAAGTTCAATATTTATCGAATCCGTTTAACAGATGACCACCTATAATTAGAATTACATGGAAAAGATATTTCAGACCTCTAATCTATTTCTCTTTATTAAAAAAAATGTTGAGAGCAACAATTACTTCCTTTACATCCAGAACCGATCACCTTTAAAAATTACGTTGTCATTCTGACTCACAAAACCCTGGGTCACGTCAAATCAGGAGATGGAATGCAAAAGCCGACTCGGCTTATACTGGACTATCAAATGACAAGAAAACTCCCATAACACCGCTGGAATTTATAGGATAAATACACGCAATTCGGCCATTTTGCTAATACTTATGTATAGGTAACCAGCACAATACATAGTTTCACTAGACAACAGAATGTAGGTAGTTCGTATACTACAACGTATAGTACAATACGTATTTAGATTCAGAAACGACAGAGTGGGAAGTTAGTGTTCATATCATGTTTAAATGTAAGACGCTTACCTTTTAAGACTTGCCTGATGGTAACAAGTTGCGAACATATCAGTAGTAGATGTAAATTTTAAAGTTATGATTAAGATTAATGGGTAATGTAATATGTACAAATGTTTATGACCCTTTACACGTACAGATACGCCAACAAGATTGATTAAAAGCAATTAATAATTTCATGATTTTTGTGAGATAAACTTTATGGAAAATGATTTTTTATGTTCAACAGTGATAATAATAACACGATTCCATATATTCTGTTACAGTCATATATCTGCAAAGATTGTTGTAGATGAATAATGAATTTTCCTTACCCGCTTCCCCACGTGTTTACATACTTGTTTTCAATACTTAGAGACTTGTTCCCAACATCACAATTACACTAATTTACTTGTACAATTTTCCCTACCCGCTTCCCCGCGTGTTTACATACTTGTTTCCAATACTTAGAGACTTGTTCCCAACATCATAGTTACACTAATTTACTTGTACAATTTTCCCTACCCGCTTCCCCACGTGTTTACATACTTGTTTTCAATACTTAGAGACTTGTTCCCAACATCATAGTTACACTAATTTACTTGTACAATTTTCCCTACCCGCTTCCCCACCTGTTTACATACTTGTTTCCAATACTTAGAGACTTGTTCTCAATATCACAGTTACCTTGATTTACTTGTACAATAACTTCAATAAATTTTCTACACAAGTTTCGAGAAGTACATGTTGACGAAGATTATGAGCCATTTGATGGTCGTTACCCTGATCTAATAGTGAAATGTTCCGTTTAATTATACAAAATGAAAATCGACTTTTTCAATGCTTGTTCATATACCATCGTGTAAACCCTTTCACTCGCTCTTCTTCAACTCCCATTTTATGTCTTTCGTAGGAACTTGATTGCTTCACTTCGTTGATTATGCGAAAGAAAAATATTTCCATCGTTGCTTTAACAAAATGTGATGAGGAAAATAAACTACTGGACAGGGGAGACCAGGTCCTGACAAAGGCAGTATCGATTAAGTGAACAGGACATTGTGTTGTAGAGATACATTTAAGGACTCGGAAGTAAAATAATGCAACAGACAGGTTTTATCGGTACCACTTACGATGCATTTTTCTCTTACGATGAGAATAACACAAGTTCCTACAGGATCTGACAAATTCACATAGATATAAAACAGAACAGGTACAATTCTTTACATGTAAGGATCCAACAGATTTACATAGATATAAAACAGAACAGGTACAATTCTTTACATGTAAGACCCTTATAAACACATTAAGGAAGAGTGACGTCCTTTGAACAAACTGATTTCAGAGTCTGGTACCTATTGTGTAAGTCCACCTTTCAGTGCTTACCGCCTTTCATTATAAATGCCTTCTAATTAAAAATGTATAAATATAGGTGTGAGCTTATTACCTACAATTGGTTTGACATGTGTTCAAGTAAAAAATCAAGTAAAAAAGTAAGGAATTGGTCAACATTTAAAAACCTAGTAGAATGTATCCTAAATTTGTATAGGTTCTGCATAATTCATATTAGTCCGGATATATCACTAGTGTAGCCGGGCTTCACCTGGCCATTAAAAGCCAAATTGGGTAATTCGATATATTTTCCACACTGGCTAAGAACGAAAAAAAAGTGTTTTTATTTGCAATTTTACAAGCTGTATGGTTCCGACCATCACGATGTCATGACAGAAATGTATACAAATATGCACTTCAATATACGAAAAAAAGTTGATATCACGTTCGTGCTATAGTTTGCGTGAATACAAACCCTAATCAAACTTTGATTCCTTCTCAGATTTCAGGAAAAATAGTCACCTCGCTCTTCACGGTACCATAAACTTCGACATTGTATTAGTGTCGGATTGTAATTAACCACGGGTACGGTTACAACGTGTAGGAGGTGCCTATCATGACTTTCCCCTAAACACAGAGCCAAAGTCACAGTTTCTGGACAAATAAGGGGTCCTGTACACGTCAATCTGTCGAACAGAATCAAAAGTAAGTTCTTATATCAACCTTGCTTACACTGAAAAGGAAAGTTGTCGCAAAATTCCGCGGGCTGCAAACCAGGCAAGCCAGTATAATAACTAGATACTGGACGACTACAGACAATGTAAGTACTCCAAATTACCACTGACATAGTATTGCTAATGACTTTATTTATGCGCATTGAACATTCCGGTTTGAAGGCATGCTTTTTAATTTTCAATTGTTTTAAGATCCAAATCAACCCATTGTATTCAGTGCCAGAAGTGATGTTAAATGTACACGATATATACAAAGCTATTGCCTCTATCGCAATGGAGAATTTACACGGATAGGGGGTAATAAGTTCATGCAAAATTAGTCATTTTCAGATCTATAATCAAAAGGATCTTATATAAGGATTTCTACCAGAGGTTAATGCCCTTGTATAATTCATTTTATACGTCCTGGCAGAATGTCGTGGTATCACCAGGAAGCAAGGTCGCAATGTTAACTTGTGACCACGAATTAGCACAGATTTTTATCATCTATTCTTGGATCAGATAACATTGATATCTTTCAAATAATTCTGGGGTACAAAATTAAATATGAATGAAGATTTATTTTGGTGAACAAAAATATATTTATCCTTTTTCAATCATATTTGCTGCTTTTGCAGGATGGGTTTGTAAGAAAGGAAAAAAAAAAAAAAAAAAAAAAAAAACCAACAAACAACTGCTGTCAATTATCAAGTTTATTTGACATTGTTTTACTTTTAACAATGTTGGAAAGTTTAGAAAGCTATGGTATAAACAAGTATATATACTAAATTAGTACGTATTGCACATATAATTACAGTATAAATAATAATATTAAAAACGATATTAAGAGGAAGCAGAATATCTAATATCCACCACATGTTGTACACTTTTGATGAACAGATGTTTTGTCTTATCCTCTTTCAATAACCGTTTATCTAAATAACATTGCTTTGTTACTGAAAATGCGAGAAAACTAGAACACTTGGGCTGGAATTTCAACAAATTTCCAAGTTTGGTCACGCTTTGAATAAATATTCAGGCCTTTGATCCTAAGGTCAAGGTTACAGTGACCTAACGGCAGTGTAGTATACATCGGCTATAAGTGACTAAGGAAATTTATTGAAAAACGCTCATTTGACCTTTACCCTTTGAGGTTAAATTCAGACCTACCAGCACTGCACTGCATATCTGCGTTTAGTTAATAAAGTGTGCAACAATTTTCATTAAGACGTCTTTGACGGTTTAGAAGTTATTGCCTGACCAAAAAATGATTAGAAAAGCAGACTAACCAGTAGAACATGTGCTAAAACCAATCGTCTCCCTCCATAATTACAGGGCAATACGTGGCAAAAACAATACATATTTGTTCTTATTTAGTATTCAACGTTTATGGAAAGGATATTGTTTTAAATATACGCCCTTTTCCAATTTAAAGAATATCGTTAACTTTCATTTAGTAATGACAAAAAGTATGTCAGTAATTTGATACGCTGGTCTTTCCAATTTGATGAAGTCTCGTATGTCAAATGTATTTTGTGGAAAATCAAAACGAGATGAGACTGCAAAATTAAATAAAAATCGTTTTCAAGTATAAAGAAAGCTCGAGGTGGTACACAAAACACGTGTTGTGTGGACACGCAAATCTACAGATTTCTTATTCGATATGCACATGGTATAAAGTTATCAGATGATGATTATCAATGTTTGAATACCGACTGCAATGCTTAAATTGTTTGTCTGTAGCTTTGTACTCACCTAATGGTGAATAACTCAATGTCAACTTTACCGATAAGATGCTCCCTTACATAACCAGTCGATCCAACGGGCTTTAGCTTCTAAGTATTTATCTATAATACTGTGCGACCTTATAAAACATATTATTGTTTTTTTTTAATCTCAGCTCTACTGACAATTATTTGACAATTCTAGCTAAAATATATTGCCAGTTTGTCACAGGATGCAAATTTCTTTCCATTCTGGCGGCAATGTTTGTTTTAGATTATGATAATGCATGCTTTAAGCTTCTAACCTTACAAAAAGTCATAGTTTTACTACCATAGTTATGTTATATTAACTATGTTCAACATGTAACAAACACCTGTGTTCATCCGGCGAGGCTAGAAAGTGAAAGATGTATATCAACATTATCCAGGAAGTTTGGCACAACATGAAAACATGGCCATCTATAAAACAATAACAAAATACCATATGGACAGGAGTTTTGTTTTCATCATCATTCTATTAGCACAATATATTGTTTACTTCAAGGAGAACATTTTACTATCAGTTAAGGGTATCAGGAAGAGACTGGATCTAACCATCTATTATCATTTTTTCATTTACATATTGGACATGACTATAGCAAGAATATAGGGTCAAATGTACCAACAAATGGACTGTAAATAATCAAATAAAAACTATGTTATATTATTTACTACTTCCAAGTATTGATAACAAAATCTGTTAGTTTACTCCTAATATATAATCATAAGTTATGTTTGTATTTGACATATATTCTGTAATGATTAAACTGGTGTTGCAATGAGGAAATTTAATGCTAACGTCTATCATATGTCCCCCATCAACGGAGACATCGATAAGAGCAACAGATGTAAACGTGTTTACTGTAGATGAACCATACCAAACTGTTCAGTTACCTGCATCGACGCCATCTCCTCAACCATCCCACAGATTTACCCGGCCGGGAACTTGCGTCAGTCGGCACAATAGCAGATAATAAATAGACCAACCAATGGACTCCTATTTTATATAAGTGAACGTATTCACAGCAACTTTTTCCTGGCAATAACCAGGCAACACACCAACGATTGTTCACTCTACTTCAAACCAAGATGATAAAACTAAACCGCAGCTCACTCTTTTAAGGATTAAGGTAGTGGTGAAGAGAATTTAAGTCAGAGGAAACCAATGTGAAAGACACTCTGTAGCTACATAGAATACCTTTAAACCATACTTCATCAAATTGTTAATTACGAAAGTTAAGATTTTCCCCTTGGCGTTCAAAATGCTAATAGTTTGAACTATTTATTTTGATAGCATTCTAAGAGAGGCTGTTAATTTAAAAGGTATGAATTGTGTGCTTACACGTTGAAACTCGCGTGTCTGGAGTTCATTTCTTTGGGGTAAGGTAGCCATGTAAGTTTTCTTTAATATCTTTATAATTGTATCCCATGTTTTTTTTATCCTAACATGGACGAATTGTCTCTAGTTGTTATACCAGTTTGATACATCGCGTGATATGGCTACAGCACGCACCTGTCAATCTATCACTTTTCCAAGGAAGAAGTAAAGAGGAAAATAGGAATGCTATTACCCTTATGTTATTTTAGACGTCTTTCGATATTTGTATTTACCCACTGTGCTTCTGTGCGTGAGTGTTGGTTCAAGTTTCAATGTAACACAGCTAAACCTCGACTGTTATTTCCCTTTTGCGTGAAAATAAGGATTTTAAACAAATTCAAGATCAAATCAGATTGCCATTCGTCTTCAAAAAAGAGTGTTATGTGATTTCGTCCTGGTTGGAGTTGATGTTGTTTTATAAACGGATTCGTGTGGAAACATTATGCTGCTTCAAAATTAAAACACGATTATCACATAACCATAAAATCTGAGATGAAAAGAGAATTAATATCACTCCTACTGTAGTTGTGTAACTCTTACAGAGACAGTCCTGTTATATAGTTAAACACTGTGTGCGGTTTTCTTTATCACAATATGTTCTTTTTCGTCGTTTTAGCATGTTGAAGGCTTCAACAGTGGCAGTCTTGGGAATGGTACTGCTCGGCCAAGGTAGAGTACTGAATTAGAATATATTGTACTGATCATATGACCTATATCAACAGAATTTTAAGTTACCTGTATATATGAGATGATTCATACTTAAGCGTTTCTTTATTTTGATATAAAAATCTAATTCTAACTTTTGAATTTATTTCCGACCGTAAATAACGGATAATTTCTGAATTTCTTGTGATTGTAGGATGGTTTACACGTGCGGAGTACAAGCGCGTGTGTTACTATACCAACTGGGCCCAATACCGAGCGGGTGCACGTTTCACTGTTGATAATATCACACCAGAACTCTGTACACACATCATCTACGCATTTGCGAAAGTCACCGATCTGGACCTGGACGTCGTAGAATGGAATGACGAAAGTAAATATTTCTCTTTCTTCATATTATTCTTATGCGTTAAACTGAGTTTTTTCAGATAAAAGAAATTTCATGATGTAATACCACAACTTAAGTATGCAAATACAGAATACATGCACCCATTTTTGTAACCCCAAATACAGAAGATTCAAAATCCCCGCCCTCAGTCCCGTAAGTTATTTCGACAGAGACATAGAGCAATCTTACTTCCTTAAAAATCTTTCTGGAGCCCTAAAAGGGCAGCAAGGCAGAAAACGAAAGGAGAGGAAAATACTCCATAAAGTTTTTGTCAGTATTATATCATGAAATTTGGTTTTACTTGGAAAAACCTAAATTTCATTTCAGTAATAACTACCATAACTTCAGTATGCGAATTTGGCTTACCGTAGTGAAAACTTCGGCGCCATGCAGTCCATGGCAGAACTGCACAATCCAGAGGCAACTCCAGGTTAAGTGGGAAATAGTGTCAGAATAAGGATAAAATTGGAAAGTACTTCCCCGTGAAGGAGAAGGTGCCCCAAGGTGGTACCTAATTGCAACAGGATAAAAACTCACCAGATTAATGAGGAGGCACAGCCACAGATTGTGCCACCCCAAAAGGTCCAAGGGAGTACAAACCATCGGACCTCAGGTAAAAAAAGTGTTAAAGTATTCTGGCCAGAAGGCAGCGGGCATGACCAGAAAGGAAGACCCATTGAGGAAAGTCAAAGATGCAGCGACGGCCCTAACCTCATGAGAACGTTCGAAAGATACTTGATGATTCGACAAACTCACATAGACACAGGCTGGGAAGAGATATCTTGACGACTCTGTTTAATGGGGAAAAAACAGACGGGATTGAGAACCTCAAATCCTCTTGGGACGTCTTGACCTGAGGCCCTACGTGAGAACAGAGTTCACACGGAGCAGATTCATCACATGGATGACAAGGGGGACAGGCATTATGAGGGTTCCGTTCCGCAAGTAAATGGGAACACCCATGGGCCGAACCCTGTCGCAATCCCGCCCGAGACATATTTAAAACAGAAAAATCAAAACTTATCAATAAGTACGCAAAACAGAAAAAAAATTGTGAATAAAAGTAAAATAACAAGCAAAACAACGTAAATCGCACTACCAAAAGGCCAAAAGCAAGGGCAAAAAATAAATAAACAAAAACAAAGAGCCGACTCTGAAATCGTAATTGCGGACCATGCGGTACGCCACTCAGACACTTGGAGGACGAAAACGTCCGAAAACGTCCGCAAAACAATAAAGCAATCAAAATGATTGGAACTAAAGGGCAGATGGGCAATAACAACGCCAACTAAAAAAAGAATAAGTCCAAGGAACGATCTGAGAGGCTGGAAAACAAAGATGGCACAGAACTCATCTGAAAACATCAGCCATAAGTGAGCTCCATAAAGTATAGAGGAAGGGAGATCACTCTATCTCTGTCGTTATGGCACACAAGACTGTAGGGAGGGTGGGATTTTTGAATCTTTAGTTTTTATGCCTCAAAGATGATAGCAGGTACTGTATTTGCACACTAAAGTTATGGTAATTATTACTGAAATGAAATTGTTAATTTATGTACCTGATTGAAAATTGAAATTTTGATATTATCATTATTACATACATTTAACAGCAATGTTTGGAAAGTTAGTAAACATGAGGACGTTGCATCCTGGCCTGAAACTGCTGATAGCTATTGGTGGATGGACCGCCGGCACTGAACGTTTCACAAATGCTGTATCAACAGACAACAAAATACGCGCATTTGCAACAAATACTATCAGCTTCCTCAGAAAGCATGACTTTGACGGCCTTGATATTGACTGGGAGTATCCTGGCGGTAGAGGGAGTCCCGCCGAGGACAAGGAGCGCTTTACCAAGATGGTACAGGTAAGTGATTTACAAATAATTCTGATTGAGATAGACGTCTGTATTAAAAATGAAAGATTGAAAATTTACAAGTTGGGAGCAGTAACGTGATTAAGTGATTAACTTTTCTTTTACTAACCTCTTTTACATAAGTTCTCATCATCATTGTTTGATTTGGCCTCATCTCGATATTATCGGAGAAAAACTCAGGCAAAAGTCATGAAAAGAACGTTAGACAGACAGTTATCTTAGAAGATTCAACACGAACCTTAGACATTAGTCTTAGTCAGTTGTAGAGGCGGAACTCTTAAGTATATCCTTGCCGGATGATTTGAGAAAGGTGGAACCAAATGCATCGGATGAATGTCATAGCAAAACCTTTAATGGCATAACGGGGTGTTGGTGACTTCCTACCTCTGATAGTGACAATAGCCTGGTCATAACAGGGTGTGAGTGACTTCCTGTCTCTGATAGTGACAATAGCCTGGTCATTATAGGGTGTGACTTCCTGCCTCTGACAGTGACAATAGCCAGGTCATTACAGGGTGTGAGTGACTTCCTGCCTCTGATAGTGACAATAGCCTGGCCATTACAGGGTGTGAGTGACTTCCTGTCTCTGATAGTGACAATAGCCTGGTCATTACAGGGTGTGAGTGACTTCCTGTCTCTGATAGTGACATTTGCCTGGTCATAACATGGTGTGAGCGACTTCCTGCCTCTGAAAGTGACAATAGCCAGGTCATAACAGGGTGTGAGTGACTTCCTGTCTCTGATAGTGACAATAGCCTGGCCATTACAGGGTGTGAGTGACTTCCTGTCTCTGATAGTGACAATAGCCTGGTCATTACAGGGTGTGAGTGACTTCCTGTCTCTGATAGTGACATTTGCCTGGTCATAACATGGTGTGAGCGACTTCCTGCCTCTGAAAGTGACAATAGCCAGGTCATAACAGGGTGTGAGTGACTTCCTGTCTCTGATAGTGACAATAGCCTGGTCATAACATGGTGTGAGCGACTTCCTGCCTCTGAAAGTGACAATAGCCAGGTCATAATAGGGTGTGAGTGACTTCCTGCCTCTGATAGTGATATTTGCCTGGTCGTAACGGGGTGTAGGGGACTTCCTGCCTCTGATAGTGACATTTGCCTGGTCGTAACGGGGTGTAGGGGACTTCCTGTCTCTGATAGTGACATTTGCCTGGTCGTAACGGGGTGTAGGGGACTTCCTGCCTCTGATAGTGACATTTGCCTGGTCGTAACGGGGTGTAGGGGACTTCCTGCCTCTGATAGTGACATTTGCCTGGTCGTAACGGGGTGTAGGGGACTTCCTGCCTCTGATAGTGACATTTGCCTGGTCGTAACGGGGTGTAGGGGACTTCCTGCCTCTGATAGTGACATTTGCCTGGTCGTAACGGGGTGTAGGGGACTTCCTGCCTCTGATAGTGACATTTGCCTGGTCGTAACGGGGTGTAGGGGACTGTCTGTCTTTAAAGTCATGGTATACAATACTGTAAAACTGTGATTTGGGTCGTCACAGATAACATGTTCTTTGGTCGATTACGTAATGGAATGATTATTTTACTATCGAAAACTTTTGTTTCAGATATTCAGTGAGGAATTTAAACGAGAGGCAAATGGAAGTTCACGTGATCGCCTGTTACTAAGTGCCGCAGTAGCTGCTGGTGCAAATTATGTTGATAAAGCATATGAAATTGATATCATATCAAAGTAAGTGACAAGCTTTTAGCTTTGTCTGGGAAATAAGAGGTGGTTTTAATAAAAGAGGCGGTATATAAGACGCAGTAACTAGTCAGTAATAAAGCTCCACACGTTGCAGACTCCGATAAAATCTTACGTCTGGTTTGACCCCTACCTGGGTCGGTTATTTTTCTCGTTAAGCTTAGATCACACACCGTTCTCTTCTGCCGTGATTACCCCTTTAATCAAATGGTCTGAATAGTAAGCGGCGAGCTTCTCACGTGCTGAAACAACCAGCTATTTGATGGCTTTTCTCGGCAAACAAATAACAATAATGTTTGGTGGTTAAGATATTAGATTTTTCACTGTGTATGTCTGTTGACATCAACCGACACAGAACATATATGAACCTACAATATTGTCATTGACAGGTATTTTGATTTTATCAACCTGATGGCATACGACCTACATGGGCCTTGGGAGGATACTCTGAACCATCATAGTCCACTGTACCCTCGGTCGGACAACCCCGCGGACCAACTAACACAGGTACCACTTACTCAGTGTGGTTGTCCCCCTCCCGTTGAGTGATATGCTACTAGTTCACATATCTGTCCCCAATACGCGGACTTGATGTTCACTGGTACGAAAAAAACTTTGTCAGTCGTGTACTTGACACAGAACTCGTGTTCTTTTATGGTCATTATCATCACGAAAAATATTCCACGTCTTTGTGTGATACGAATTTAGATATGTCCTTCGCTTGTTAAACCCCCTGGACAGGATTTATATGGCGGATGTCTCCGATAAGAACTCTGTTTCTAGCACGTTTCCAAAGGTCTCCTTGTTAACTTTCCCTTCGTTAATAGTTTGCCATATTTTTCAATTATCTTTTATTAGTCAAATTTTTATCAATTTTGTACAAAATTAGGATGGGGCAGTGAACCTCTGGCTAAGTCGAAGTTGTCCAAAAGAAAAGTTGATTCTCGGGATAGGCATGTACGGCAAATCCTTTACATACACTTCCTCATCAGACGTAGGATCGCCCGCCTCCGGGGCTGGTAGGGCAGGGCAATATACAGCAGAACCTGGCACATTGGCTTACTACGAGGTAAGTTCGAGGTAGGGTTTATCTGTCATATTTTACCCATCGGTTGTAAGAAAGTTAAACTCTTCCAATATGTTAAAATATTCTTCGAAGTTAAAATGATTTCAATTTCATTTGAGGATATTCAACTTTTATCGTACCTACCATAGTATTTCCTTAACAAACATTAATAACAATTGTACGTCATGAAAACAGATTGAACTGAAGATTCTACTGCCTTTTTGTTCCGATTTTTTTTATTCCTTATTAACGTTTTAGTAGTTGTCTTGATATTACTCTTTTTTCATGTTTTCGGCGGACCAGTTTACTGACCGGACCACGTGTATCCAGTAACTCGTACTATAACTATAATTGCTTGGTGCTCAGTGGAAAATTTCTAAAATGTCTACCAATCAGCAGTTTGTATTAATTTTACCCGTTTGTACGTTACTTATGTGCTGTATTTTGTACGTGTTTGATGGAAGAATGAAGTATGTTGGACAAAGATTTTTTTTTATGTTACACCGAACTAGGTGTGTCTGAATTTGAACTCTGGGTGGACGAGGAAATGGATGGATGACCAAAAGGTTCCCTACGCTTTCTCCGGTAGTGAATGGGTCGGTTACGACGATGTGGACAGTGTGGCCTACAAGGTCAGTGGGGAATTTATAGAATCCAATATCAACTTGCGATCTCTCGGTGTCACACATGACTACTAAATGTCGACAGAAAATGTGATATTTTTGTGCATTTTTCTTAGTCAGAGGTATTGGTCTCGATCTCACTCTCACATACACACACCCGCGCTCTCGACGTCACTCTCACATATAGACACCCGCGCTCTCGACGTCACTCTCACATACAAACACCCTCGCTCTCGCCGTCAACCTCGCATACACACCCCTTCTTCACATACAGACACCCTCGCTCTCGTCCTCATCCTCACATACACACACCCTCGCTCTTGTCCTCATCCTCACATACACACACCTCGCTCTCGTCTTCACCCACACATACACACACACTCGCTCTTACCCTCACCCTCACATACACACACCCTCGCTCTTACCCTCACCCTCACATACACACACTCTCGCTCTTACCCTCACCCTCACATACACACACCCTCGCTCTTACCCTCACCCTCACATACACACACCCTCGCTCTTACCCTCACCCTCACATACACACACCCTCGCTCTTACCCTCACCCTCACATACACACACCCTCGCTCTTACCCTCACCCTCACATACACACACACTCGCTCTTACCCTCACCCTCACATACACACACCCTCGCTCTTACCCTCACCCTCACATACACACACCCTCGCTCTTACCCTCACCCTCACATACACACACCCTCGCTCTTACCCTCACCCTCACATACACACATCCTCGCACACACTTTCCTTCATCACATATACACCCCTCACTCACTTACAAAGACGAAAACTCTAGTTCGATTATTGAGAATTCATTATTTGCGCTTACTTCAGAATGATTGACATATGATCTGTGAATTAATGTTGAATGTTAGGAATACATTTTTTCCAATGTTGAAAAATCACGTGATGTCCTTTCATCAAAGAAATTAAATTATGCACGTTCGAAATAAAACATGTTCCAAAAACTGTATGTTTCCATTTACCACGATTACTTAAAACAAAGATAATCTCGATATCGTTTGATTTCTGGTACAAGCTTTTCATATGATAACGTATCGAAATACTTTAAAAAGGTGCTTATTTCGAAAGAGTAAGTGTTCTTGTCATCTCCACTACATCCAGATAATTGTTAGTTTATGTTCTCAACAGACATGCTCTCGAGCAACAACTGCATCTCACCACGTTCTGCACAATGTGTGACAAGCTCTGTCGGCGTTACCCTTTATCTCTATATCGGCATGTTATAGGTTGAATACATAAAACAGAAACAGCTAGGTGGCGCTATGGTGTGGGCAATGGATATGGATGACTTTGACAACAAGTGCGGAGATGGAAAGTATCCCCTTATGTCAACCATAAAGGCAGATCTTCTCGCTGAAGACCCGGATGTGTACAACGTCCAAGATGAGGACCAGGGATACATGTATGACCAGTACGCCTGTGAGTACGAGAAGCACGGACATTCCCTTGCCAGCAATTACAAAAATTACATTCTGATCTTACAGCGATAAGCTTTGATGTCGTAGGGTAAGACCAAAGAACACGTTCTCGGTTGTGTATTCACTTCATTCCAGGATTTAGACAGTTCTGCTGGTCTGAAAAACTGATGCTGAAATTCACTGTTGGACCATTTCGACACTACCTGCTCAATGAATCCTTATATTTTAGACCTTTTTTCCCTTCCAGTAAGTCTCAAAGACAAGCAAATGCAACTGGGACAAAAAACTGTAAAGGTATCCCTATAGATTGTTAAGTTTCTTCAACCATCTGGTACTGCCCACGAAGCTGCAGTCTTTCCACCATATTTATTGTCGGTTCATTTTAGATGCTAAGGCGTAATCTTATAAGAAATAACAAAAACTTGTTCTGGATTAGTTTTGATACTGTTTTTGGACTTGCCCAAAGACGACACCTCTTGACAACGAATGAGGACCGAAAATGCAAATTACTGCATATAATGTACCTTTTTGTAGTTATTATTTAAACAATTGCTTATTGCCGAAAATTCAAACAGACGGCATAACATGTAGACTCCATTTTCCCGAAACCAAATTAAGTCTTCCAGAATTAATACGTCATGCCATATAATACAAATTTCTAGTTAGCTCGAATTTCACGCAGGGACTTTTTTTAACAGCTACAGAGTCATCAGACCTGAAGCGTGTGTGTTACTACAGTAATTGGGCGAAGTACCGCCCCGCACCGTCTACTTTCTCCCCGGAAATTATCAACGCATCTCTGTGTACTCACATCATATACGCCTACGCTGAACTAAAGGATAATGACATCCATATGTACGAGGACGATCAAGGTAAGAGTCATGATATAGAAGCAAGAAACAAGTAATTAATTAGTACCCAATGCTTACCAACACGTCTTCAAATATGACATCTTTACTGATTATACTTTCTAAACGTCCAGTTTAGGCCTAACTGTATAGCATGTGTAATTGCTCTGAGAGTTATTTCTTTGTATCAAATTTATTTTATAATCGTTTCGCCCAGGTACATTACAAATGTTGCGTGATATGCGTAACATTAATCCGGACCTAAAAATCCTGTTATCCGTTGGTGGCTACGCCCAGGGCACTGAAGAGTTTATCAAAACAGTATCATCGGAAGAAAACATCGCTGAGTTTGCATTCAATGCTATGCTGCATCTCAATATGCACCACTTTGATGGACTTGACTTGGACTGGGAATTTCCCGGTGATCAAGGGATTTCACACAAGGATCATTTTACCGCTCTGGTCAAGGTATCTAATAAATTGATTGGATTGAAAATAACTAATTTGTTTGTTTGCAGGCGAAGGATTTTTTCACAAAATGTTTAAATACTAGTGACGATCATATAACACTGATATAGTCACGGTCATCTACCACTGATATATTCTCGGTCATCTAACACTGATATAGTCACGGTCATCTAACACTGATATATTCTCGGTAATATAACACTGATATAGTTACGGTCATCTAACACTGATATATTCTCGGTCATCTAACACTGATATATTCTCGGTCATCTAACACTGATATAGTCACGGTCATATAACACTGATATAGTTACGGTCATCTAACACTGATACAGTCACAGTCATCTAACACTGATATAGTCACGCCCATCTAACACTGATATATTCACGGTCATCTAACACTGATATATTCTCGGTCATCTAACACTGATATAGTCACGGTCATATAACACTGATATAGTCATAATCATCTAACACTGATATAGTCACGGTCATCTAACACTGATATAGTCACGGTCATCTAACACTGATATAGTCACGGTCATCTAACACTGATATAGTCACAATCATCTAACACTGATATAGTCACAATCATATAACACTGATATAGTCACGGTCATATAACACTGATATATTCTCGGTCATCTTACACTGATATAGTCACGGTCATCTAACACTGATATAGTCACGGTCATCTAACACTGATATATTCTCGGTCATCTAACACTGATATAGTCACGGTCATATAACACTGATATAGTTACGGTCATCTAACACTGATACAGTCACAGTCATCTAACACTGATATAGTCACAATCATCTAACACTGATATAGTCACAATCATCTAACACTGATATAGTCACGGTCATCTAACACTGATATATTCTCGGTCATCTAACACTGATATAGTCACGGTCATATAACACTGATATATTCTCGGTCATCTAACACTGATATAGTCACGGTCATCTAACACTGATATAGTCACGGTCATCGGTCATCTAACACTGATATATACGGTCATCTAACACTGATATATTCTCGGTCATCTAACACTGATATAGTCACGGTCATATAACACTGATATAGTTACGGTCATCTAACACTGATACAGTCACAGTCATCTAACACTGATATAGTCACAATCATCTAACACTGATATAGTCACAATCATCTAACACTGATATAGTCACGGTCATCTAACACTGATATATTCTCGGTCATCTAACACTGATATAGTCACGGTCATATAACACTGATATAGTTACGGTCATCTAACACTGATACAGTCACAGCCATCTAACACTGATATAGTCACAATCATCTAACACTGATATAGTCACGGTCATCTAACACTGATATATTCTCGGTCATCTAACACTGATATAGTCACGGTCATATAACACTGATACAGTCACGGTCATCTAACACTGATATAGTCACGGTCATATAACACTGATATAGTCACGGTCATCTAACACTGATATATTCTCGGTCATCTAACACTGATATAGTCACGGTCATATAACACTGATACAGTCACGGTCATCTAACACTAATATATTCACGGTCATATAACACTGATATAGTCACAATCATCTAACACTGATATAGTCACGCCCATCTAACACTGATATAGTCACAATCATCTAACACTGATATAATCACGGCCATCTAACACTGATATATTCACGGTCATATAACACTGATATAGTCACAATCATCTAACACTGATATAGTCACGCCCATCTAACACTGATATAGTCACGGTCATATAACACTGATACAGTCACGGTCATCTAACACTAATATATTCACGGTCATATAACACTGATATAGTCACAATCATCTAACACTGATATAGTCACGCCCATCTAACACTGATATAGTCACAATCATCTAACACTAATATACTCACGGTCATCTAACACTGATATAGTCACAATCATCTAACACTGATATAGTCACAATCATCAACACTGATATAGTCACGCCCATCTAACACTGATATAGTCACAATCATCTAACACTGATATACTCACGGTCATATAACACTGATATAATCACGGTCATATAACACTGATATAGTCATAATCATCTAACACTGATATAGTCACGGTCATCTAACACTGATATATTCTCGGTCATCTAACACTGATATAGTCACGGTCATATAACACTGATACAGTCACGGTCATCTAACACTAATATATTCACGGTCATATAACACTGATATAGTCACAATCATCTAACACTGATATAGTCACGCCCATCTAACACTGATATAGTCACAATCATCTAACACTGATATAATCACGGCCATCTAACACTGGTCATCTAACACTGATATAATCACGGCCATCTAACACTGATATATTCACGGTCATATAACACTGATATAGTCACAATCATCTAACACTGATATAGTCACGCCCATCTAACACTGATATAGTCACGGTCATATAACACTGATACAGTCACAATCATCTAACACTAATATATTCACGGTCATATAACACTGATATAGTCACAATCATCTAACACTGATATAGTCACGCCCATCTAACACTGATACAGTCACGGTCATATAACACTGATACAGTCACGGTCATCTAACACTAATATATTCACGGTCATATAACACTGATATAGTCACAATCATCTAACACTGATATAGTCACGCCCATCTAACACTAATATAGTCACAATCATCTAACACTAATATACTCACGGTCATCTAACACTGATATAATCACGGTCATATAACACTGATACAGTCACGGTCATCTAACACTAATATATTCACGGTCATATAACACTGATATAGTCACAATCATCTAACACTGATATATTCACGGTCATATAACACTGATATAGTCATAATCATCTAACACTGATACAGTCACGGTCATCTAACACTAATATATTCACGGTCATATAACACTGATATAGTCATAATCATCTAACACTGATACAGTCACGGTCATCTAACACTAATATATTCACGGTCATATAACACTGATACAGTCACGCCCATCTAACACTGATATAGTCACAATCATCTAACACTGATATAATCACGGCCATCTAACACTGATATAGTCACGGTCATACAAAACTGATACAGTCACGGTCATCTAACACTGATATAATCACGGCCATCTAACACTGATATATTCACGGTCATATAACACTGATATAGTCACAATCATCTAACACTGATATAGTCACGGTCATATAACACTGATATAGTCACAATCATCTAACACTGATATATTCACGGTCATATAACACTGATATAGTCACAATCATCTAACACTGATATAATCACGCCCATCTTACACTGATATAGTCACGGTCATACAAAACTGATACAGTCACGGTCATCTAACACTGATATAATCACGGCCATCTAACACTGATATATTCACGGTCATATAACACTGATATAGTCACAATCATCTAACACTGATATAGTCACGCCCATCTAACACTGATATAGTCACGGTCATATAACACTGATACAGTCACGGTCATCTAACACTAATATATTCACGGTCATATAACACTGATATAGTCACAATCATCTAACACTAATATACTCACGGTCATCTAACACTGATATAATCACGGCCATCTAACACTGATATATTCACGGTCATATAACACTGATATAGTCACAATCATCTAACACTGATATAGTCACAATCATCAACACTGATATAGTCACGCCCATCTAACACTGATATAGTCACAATCATCTAACACTAATATACTCACGGTCATCTAACACTGATATAATCACGGTCATATAACACTGATACAGTCACGGTCATCTAACACTAATATATTCACGGTCATATAACACTGATATAGTCACAATCATCTAACACTGATATAGTCATAATCATCTAACACTGATATAGTCGCAATCATCTAACACTGATATAATCACGGCCATCTAACACTGATATATTCACGGTCATATAACACTGATATAGTCACAATCATCTAACACTGATATAGTCACGCCCATCTAACACTGATATAGTCACGGTCATATAACACTGATATATTCACGGTCATATAACACTGATATAGTCACAATCATCTAACACTGATATAGTCACGCCCATCTAACACTGATATAGTCACAATTATCTAACACTAATATACTCACGGTCATCTAACACTGATATAATCACGGTCATATAACACTGATACAGTCACCGTCATCTAACACTAATATATTCACGGTCATATAACACTGATATAGTCACAATCATCTAACACTGATATAGTCACGCCCATCTAACACTGATATAGTCACGGTCATATAACACTGATACAGTCACGGTCATCTAACACTAATATATTCACGGTCATATAACACTGATATAGTCACAATCATCTAACACTGATATATTCACGCCCATCTAACACTGATATAGTCACAATAATCTAACACTGATATAATCACAGCCATCTAACACTGATATATACACGGTCATATAACACTGATATAGTCACAATCATCTAACAATGATATAGTCACAATCATCAACACTGATATAGTCACGCCCATCTAACACTGATATAGTCACAATCATCTAACACTGATATACTCACGGTCATATAACACTGATATAGTCACGGTCATATAACACTGATATAGTCATGGTCATCTAACACTGACATAGTCATGGTCATCTAACACTGATATAGTCACTATCATCTAACACTGATATAGTCACAATCATCAACACTGATATAGTCACAATCATCTAACACTGATATACTCACGGTCATATAACACTGATATAGTCACGGTCATATAACACTGATATAGTCATGGTCATCTAACACTGATATAGTCATGGTCATCTAACACTGATATAGTCATGGTCATCTAACACTGATATAGTCACTATCATCTAACACTGATATAATCACGGCCATCTAACACTGATATAGTCACAATCATCTAACACTGATATAGTCACTATCATATAACACTGATATACTCACGGTCATATAACACTGATATAGTCATGGTCATCTAACACTGACATAGTCATGGTCATCTAACACTGATATAGTCATGGTCATCTAACACTGATATAATCACTATCATCTAACACTGATATAATCACGGCCATCTAACACTGATATAGTCACAATCATCTAACACTGATATAGTCACTATCATATAACACTGATATATTCACGGTCATATAACACTGATATAGTCACGGTCATCTAACACTGATATAGTCATGGTCATCTAACACTGATATATTCTCGGTCATCTAACACTGATATAGTCACTATCATATAACACTGATATAGTCACGGTCATCTAACACTGATATAGTCATGGTCATCTAACACTGATAAAGTCATGGTCATCTAACACTGATATAGTCACTATCATCTAACACTGATATTTGCACAACACTCAGTCACTGATAATATATGACACTATTAACTTTCATCGTCATATATATACATGTAGTGTATAGTTGAAATTAATAAAATCGCGGCCCGTTATTGTCGATATCGCGATACTCTTTGCTCAATTATCTCAAGTTTGTAATAGCATAATACTCTAATCTCTGTTGTCGTCACAGTATGTTTTAATTGATATTATCGCATCATTCTTCACTCTTATAGTCACGAGTTAAAACTGATAACATCTCGATGAAAATGGTAACATAAAGGGAAATAACTATCATTGTATTATAAAACGAATATATATGTAATGATGGTTTATTCTAGAGTTTAATGAAAGCTTTTGAAGTAGAATCCGATGCGTACAACGTGGAACGACTACTACTAAGTGCCAGCGTGTCTGCCTACGCTCCTGTAGTCGACCGCAGTTATGATGTGGCTGAAATTTCAAAGTAAGTTGTCATCCAAATGTATCACATCACAACCTATTTTTTTCAAATAAACCATATATAGTATAAACAAGGTAAAGGAAAGACATCAAACATAGTTTGGAAATCAGTTAATAAAAGAACATAACAGGCACCTTAACAGGTACATAACAGGTACACATCAGCCTCTAACGAAGGAATTTTACTTTACTTTGTGCATGGCAGTGCCATGTGAAGTGTAATTAATGTCGAGTGACATATAAAGAACAATTGGTTGTGCCCACTTCTCTTTGCCTAAAAACACATATATTTTTTTAGAGTAATTCACTTATATTTTCTTAATTCCAAATGCCTTTCAAATTATCAAATACGTGTGGAAAGGGAATTTAAACAGACAGAGTCGATGCAGAACACTACAAGATGTTTTCCGTCATGTTACCTTATCTTGTCGATAAAACTGACTGGTATTGCTCTTAGTACTTTAGAATTCTTTAATAAATGTCGAATGTTAAAATATTCATTTGTTTGAAGGTATCTTGATATGATAAATCTGATGGCTTATGACATGCAACAAAACACCCACAATGTGGCGAGATTCAACAGTCCTCTTTACGGACTTCCGTCTGATACCGGAAATGACGTTTATCGTAATCAGGTAAGATATTTATTTCTATTACATCGTCATGACAGATAAATACATACATGAACGCATCAAATTAATTTCTTCCGCGTGTTTATTTCATAACAGATGCGTGTTCATCCTTTTCTGTTTGTCTTTCTAGAAGTTTTACACAGTATAGATATTATGTCATATGTTGTCAAAGCGACAACACTGCTCACAGAGAGGTTAATAGCAGTCAAGTTTACATCTGCAATGGAAACGAACATGATTGCTAAATATATTGGGATATCGTATTATCATCACTTTTACCAGTATGTGATCATTATAATGTGGTGTTATAAGAAGTGCATTTAAATAATATTTGTAACTCATGACTGAAGTTAAATGCTCGACACAAAATCCACCTGTACACGTATCTTCAAGTTTCATGTGATGTATCATTGTTATAGCACTATGCGATTCAACACTGGTTGAACAAAGGCGCCCCAGGAAGTAAACTTGTTGTAGGATTGGCTACATTCGGAAGAACCTTTACCCTGGCAGATCAATACATGTACCGAGTCGGGGACCCCGTCACTGGCCCTGGTCTCCCGGGGCAGTACACACAGAAATATGGATTTCTCGCTTTTTACGAGGTTTGTATATTGTGTTTTAATATTAATGTTCATTGATGCAGTTTTGATATGTGACATATGATTGTTATTTATTGTTTTTTTGGCTTTACAGACAACGTACGATACACTTATTGGCTGTTTACACCATTTGTCTTATATCTACCCTATCTATCCTCTTACTAACCATAGCCTTTGTATGAGAGGTGTCAATAATAGCAGATTTACCAACCATGGGGTGTTGTATCTACTTACCTTTACACTATGTAATAAGTATGGGGTGTTGTATCAACGTACCTTTACACTATGTAATTAGTATGGGGTGATGTATCTACTTACCTTTACACTATGTAATTAGTACGGGGTGTTGTATCTACTAACCTTTTCACTATGTAATTAGTATGGGGTGTTGTATCTACTAACCTTTTCACTATGTAATTAGTATGGAGTGGTGTATCTACTTACATTTACACTATGTAATTAGTATGGGGTGTTGTATCTACTTACCTTTACACTTTGTAATTAGTATGAGGTGATGTATCTACTTACCTTTATACTATGTAATTAGTACGGGGTGTTGTATCTACTTACCTTCACACTATGTAATTAGTACGGGGTGTTGTATCTACTTACCTGCACACTATGTAATTAGTATGGGGTGTTGTATCTACTTACCTTTACACTATGTAATTAGTATGGGGTGTTGTATCTACTAACCTTTTCACTATGTAATTATTATGGGGTGTTGTATCTACTAACCTTTTCACTATGTAATTAGTATGGAGTGGTGTATCAACTTACCTTTACACTATGTAATTAGTATGGAGTGATGTATCTACTTACCTTTACACTATGTAATTAGTATGGAGTGTTGTATCTACTAACCTTTTCACTTTGTAATTAGTATGGGGTGTTGTATCTACTAACCTTTTCACTATGTAATTAGTATGGAGTGGTGTATCAACTTACCTTTACACTATGTAATTAGTATGGGGTGTTGTATCTACTTACCTTCACACTATGTAATTAGTACAGGGTGTTGTATCAACTTACCTTTACACTATGTAATTAGTATGGGGTGTTGTATCTACTAACCTTTTCACTATGTAATTAGTTTGGAGTGGTGTATCAACTTACCTTTACACTATGTAATTAATATGGGGTGTTGTATCTACTAACCTTTTCACTATGTAATTAGTATGGAGTGGTGTATCAACTTACCTTTACACTATGTAATTAGTATGGGGTGTTGTATCTACTAACCTTTTCACTATGTAATTAGTATGGAGTGGTGTATCAACTTACCTTTACACTATGTAATTAGTATGGGGTGTTGTATCTACCTACCTTTACACGATGTAATAAGTATGGATTACTGTATGAACTTATCGTTCACAAAATGTAATTTGTATAGAATTTTAGAAATTCTCAGATAGTACAGATATTTGATATCAGTTCAGAACTACGGTAAAGAAGCTTAAAATCTATGGTTACGACCCAATTAATTCCCTTATTTTACACTATGAATTTCCTTTTATACGCTTTTAGATATGTATGTATGGTTGGAATTGGATGATGAATACCGAGCAGAGTGTACCATTTGCCTGGGATGGAAATCAATGGGTCGGTTACGACGACGTGGAAAGTATGACAATAAAGGTAGGTTAAGAGAATTAGAGGAAGAAATTCTGTTTAAAAAACCACCTTCAAATTAACATAAGCATTTTGTTACCTCGTTGACGAATTTGAAGATGGTGATGATTGTGAGAAAGGTCACTTTTACGTAAACTTCATATTCACTGTCAATATCCATTAGTGATTCGTGTTACTATGTTTTCTATTTGTTGACATGCTTTTAAGTATGTGTGCGAAGGTGACCCATCGTGAATATACCAAACAAGGAATAATAAGTTATCAGCATTATCGTTCACTTTGACAAAAACAAATAATTGAAAAAATGGAATTTGTCATATGGTAAATTACTTGGTTAGTCACAGTCAAGAAATAACACTGCCTTGCCATAACCGGACCTAAACAACACGATCTAATATAATTAAAACTACATCAACACGCCATAGTTCTAGCATTATTAAGGCAAAGCACAAACTAGACATAACATCACCTGATTCAAAGTTGATATGTTAGTTAGATAAAGCACAGTCCAGTTGATAGATTACTTAGAGTTGACTCAGCTTAGTTAATCTATTAACTACAAATTACCTTAATATGACACCTTCTATTTAATCAATTATCTACATATAACACTTACTAGTTATACCACAAACTGGTCAATAATAGATAACTTCGATAAAACACAACCTAATTAATAAATTATCTAGATAAAATAGAAACTAGTTGATGAATTACCAAGATGTAAATATTACACAATCTAGACAACATGCCATAACTTTGTAGATAAATTACTTAGAAATAACAAAACCTAAATATAGCACAACCTAGTAAATAAATTATTAGATGAAACACAACCTAAATTGTGTAGCATGACTGTGTGAATAGATAACCTAGATATAGCACTGAGTTGATGCATCACCTAGATATGACAAATCATAGAGATGTCACAATCTAGTAATTATATTACTCAGATATAACCAAACCTAATTGTAAAACAACGTAATAAATAAAGTACCTAGATATAGCTACATGCATATGGCACAACTTCGTTGATGAAATACCTAGATAAAGCAACATAGACATGACACAATTTAGTTGATAAATCACGTAGATATAGCACCGTAGATTTGGCACAACTTAGTTGATAAATTACCTAGGTATAACGCATCCTAGATATAACACAAAATAATTAATAAATTCTTTAGTCTAGGTAATCAATAACTTAGATATAAGATATAACATAGCCTGCTTAATTGATTATCAAGATAGATTACAACCAAGTTAATAAATTACATACATAAAACACAACCAAGTTAATAAATTACCTAGGTTTAACGCAGCATAGTTAATAGATAGCCAATATATAGTACAAGCTAGTCCATAAAGTCAATAAATTCCCTAAATAAAACAATACATTGCCTAGGTATGACCCATTCTAGTTAATAAATTACCCAGATTAATCTAGTTAATAATATAGTTAAGAAATTGCTGAGTTACCAAGCTGCAACACAGCCTTGATAAAGGAACAAAAATGCAATAAACATACATAAAACAACGTAAAAGAACAAGATGACTGTGACATGATAATACCCTTTTTACAGTTGGACTGGATGCCGACAAAATTATTTGCTGTTGCTATTTGTTGTAGGCGAACTACATCGTGAACAGTGGACTGGCAGGAGCGATGTTTTGGTTAGACTACGATGATTATGATAACGTATGTGGACAAGGGTTCTTCCCACTTATCAACTCAGTGAAATCTGTATTTAAATCAAGGTCGGAAACATTGTCTACTAGTAGCACATCAACCACACAGAGACCAACGACAACCACACAAAGACCAACGACAACCACACATAGACCAACGACAACCACACATAGACCAACGACAACCACACAGAGACCAACGACAACCACACAGAGATCAACGACAACTACGCAGGCACCAACGACACAACAACCAGGAAGTAATGGTTGTACAGGTAATAAAACCAATATGATCATCTTTAATTCAAAGTGACTTACGACAAACGCATTGCAAACATGCTCACTACTTGATGCGATAAAGTGTAGGTGGTACACAATTGCAGTACATAAACTACCCATGTCCTAGGGCACGAAAATAGTGGTGTGTAACACTTGATATAATCCAAGCGCTATCTCCAAGGTTCCCTATCTTATCTTCATCCTCCAACACCCGATTAGAAACAACGTGACATTGCCCTTTGTTAATTTGTTTGGTTATTCACATAGTTTGGCGGGTCGATACCCTCCTTCAAAATGTGACTTCCCTCCAAAAAAGTTAAACCAATGTAAGATACGACTCTATATGAATAGTTGGTAATTTAAAATGGAAGTGCACACATTGTCAGCATTTCAGTTGTATAATGCATTTTCATTCATTATTAGGGTCCACTGTAACTACTTCTAAACTTGTGATATTCATGTTTGTGTCTTTTATATAGTTTTCAATAAACGCGTACGCAGTTCCACCTAGGGGGTAAATATCTGTAGCATACGTATGTATAACGCACAGTTTCAGTGAAAATTAGAGAGATAACTTTGATGTAATGACTTCGCATCTTCCTTTGTTATACAGCCCCAACTCAATGCGTCGGATTTTTTATGGCGGATCCATGTAACTCTCGTCGCTATTACCAGTGCGGTGCCGGAAATCAAAAGTTTCACATGTTCTGTAACACTAATCTAGTTTGGAATCAAGCCGTGAGGAATTGTGTCAGGCCCCCAGCTCGACGAACCTTTGCACAAGGTAGTAAGACTAAAGAAGACAAAAGAAAGACGGGAGGTCCATATACGAAAAAACAGACAAAGAACAAGGAGATAGCAAACACGATATTGCAGGCAGATGAGACCTACAACGAAAACGAGAGGCAAGAAAAGAGGATTAACGAACTGCGTGAACTCATGTAATTGTTATGTTTTCAGATTTTGCAGATTCTCTATTTTTTTTAAAAAAAGATTCCATTACAAACACGATAGGAATGTATGAGAAAGGAAAGCTGGAATTAACATATTATGTTCTTATCCGTATATCTGACAGAATATTATCAAACTTTTATTGTATCCGAATATCTGCTCTTTTCTGAGATTTCTCAAGATTAATGAACAGTTCAATATATCATGTTAAAACGAAAAAGACATGCCAGTGATTATTTTAATGGGAAAAGCACTCCTTTATTAACCTTTCAAATGCTTTATTTACAGGAAACTGGTGAAGACGGTGGCGGAGATGAAACCCCGTAATGAGGAGAATTGAGCATAACAACATCCTTTTATCATAACATGTGTTACAACTCCATGGAAACGAACCGAAGTGTAAATGAATATATATATGAGTTAATACAGTAATTGTAACTGTACATAATATCTAAACGTATTCTTTTATGTACAAAGAGATGAACTAAATAAAATATTCTTTTTTTCCTATTACATGGCTTCAAGGTGAACGGAATTCTGATTTTACATATAAAAGTCACATTTGACCGAAGTAGGCCATATTTCAAGTTAGAAAGTATTCCGACGAAATATCGTGGACTTCTGTGTTTTACTTTGTTATGTATAATTCTGAACTAAAAGTGCTTATTATATATTTAACTGGAACTTCATTTGTGGACTACATTTTGTCGTCACCATTCACATGCCCTTGGCGACGTCATTTGGTTGATAACATCAACTTTGAATATGCTACTGTATTTTTTCTGAGTATAATTCTAACTTTACAGGTCTGGGTATATTTCAATAGAATTTTTAAGAGATCAAAAGAAATATTTATAGATCTTCGCAAGACGTATTGTTGTCGAACATTAAAAAATGATGATAAGTAAATAAAACATAAATGAAGAAATAAATGAAGAAATATAGCCATATCTGTCTCAAATCACGAAAAATATCACCTACTTCACTTTCAAGGCAGAACACATTTTTTTAAAATAAAAATTAGTAAACGACCATTGTCAAAGATAATCCATTTTAAAGAAATGGTTTTGCTCATCAAAATTAAATGAAAATTGATCAAAAAGTTTCTTTTTAAAAGAATCTGGTTGCTTGTAAATTACTGATAAAAAGCTAAAGTCTTAAAAATCATCAGCAGAAAAAAGGAAAATTTCTAGAAATGTTAGAGTTATCCATCTTTAAGTATCATCAAAATGCTGACAACGCTACTTAAATACACGCGTTGTATTGACAAATCATAAATTTATAAGCTTCACTAGATTATGTCGGTGCCCGCTCATACCATTATAAACTACGACACAGATGCAAGCTAATGGGACCAGCTCCAGTTACAGTTGTATATCCGATCGTCCCAAACAGTCGGTCCTGGGCAACATGAGTGGTATGATTTATTGTTTTCTGCGCACGAGAAATAACACTTCCGGTCACACGGGTCTGCAATCAGAAGTCCGGCAGGGCAGGATATTGGCTCTAAGGATTAATGAAGAAAAGTATCACAATTTTAATACTAAGAATCTTTACTGGAAAATTTTTATTATCATGAAGAAATGAACGGTTCAAAATATACAGATTAAGTTGACATTCTTTTAAGATGCAATTGCTTAACAACAACGATATCTATTGAAATCTTGGATTTCTGTAACCCCATGTATTGAAAGGTGATATTCATTTGAGTCTTTTGGTCTATCATTTCTGTTTAATCGCAAACATATTTAACTTAAGTCAAGGTTGGTAACGCAGATGTAAACGATAGGCTTATTTCAGAGGTAAATTAATCGTAGAAAGTTCAAACGATTCACCCCAAACCCTAGGATGTTTGTTTATACTCACACAATTTATCAATTTCAACATAGACACATTCTTGAAAGTTTAACAGTCACTTACTACAGTCTTTGTATGTGATGGTCGGCCTCATTTTTCGTGTGCTTGCCGTAGATGACGATTGCTGAGGTATCGATGTGGTGGTAATTTTCGACATAAAATCAGTATTCTTCTTTACATATGGTATGGGCGTGGTTGTATATGTCATGATTTCAGGTATGTAAACGGTTGTCCGAAATGTAGGCAGAATTTCGTCATTCTTCTTATCTGTCTTCGGTATGAAAACGGTTGTCCGAAATGTAGGCAGAATTTCGTCATTCTTCTTATCTGTCTTCGGTATGAAAACGTTTGTCCGAAATGTAGGCAGAATTTCTTCATTCTTCTTATCTGTCTTCAGTATGAAAACGGTTGTCCGAAATGTAGGCAGAATTTCGTCATTCTTCTTATCTGTCTTCGGTTTGAAAACGGTTGTCCGAAATGTAGGCAGAATTTCGTCATTCTTCTTATCTGTCTTCGGTATGAAAACGCTTGTCCGAAATGTAGGCAGAATTTCCTCATTCTTTACCATAGTTTGTTCGTTCAACTCGACTCGAGTATCTACACTTGGCCAGTCGCAGGCCAGTCTTCTCATGTTCCATTCGAGCTTGGGTGGACACAGTCGAGTGATGGCTCTAAAGCTGCACTGATAATATACAGATGCGTTGCAGCCGTCTGGGATGAACCGGCCGTGAGGGCACACAGTCGGGGGACCTAGAAACCGCAGAGAAAAAAATCTGACTTAATTTGGTTGCAACAGAAACATACTGGAAAAGGAGAATATGATGCTAATAGAAATAATAAATAGGTAATGAACTTGTCTTCATTTAAATATATCAACAGAGGAAAAAACCTACTTGATGCTAACCAACTTCATATTCTTTGATAAAAAAACAGTTCATATTTTGAATGTTATTATGTTTTTAAGTTTGTAATTCGCATTAGATCTAATTGTGACCTGGTTATTGTCAAGATAAAATGTACGTCTTCCAGCAAAATAATATATGACTTATCTGAAGGACCAGCTTATTTTCAAGTCGTCAGGTTATGTATATTTCTGTGTCATATAAAACCTTGAAGTAATTATATGAATAATTTAGAAAGAAAATACTTGAAAAATCGTTTTACGTATGTTTTCTTATCAAACATCATATTTCCGTTCTCTCACCGCATGTGACCATATCAACATTTTTTTGTTCCTTGTCATGTGAAGGTCTTCGTGTAAATGCTGTTGTTGTTTTCCTTAAAGATAATACTGGAAACGTTGACGGTATTGCTTTCCTGGACGTCAGAGTAGTGATTATTTCATTAATATGAGGTTCTGTGGGAGGTGCTGTAAAAGGCTCAGTGAGAACCTCATTCAGTTTATTCATCAAAGGATATTTGCCGTTTCCACATATATTCCTGTAGTCGTCCATGTCTAGTGACCAAACCATGGCTCCACCAAGACCTTTAGATCGAATATATCGTGCCTGAAAAATAGTGTTGTTACGGTTTACTTTTTTTCCTTTTATATAGACTACATTACACATCACATGCATTCGTCTCCCTTTCATCCAAAACTCACACAACCACAAATATGAACAAATACATCTACTCAAACAATAAAAAAGGACATTTTTTTTACGGTTTACTTCTGATATTGAGCAAAAGTAACACAAGAGACAAAACAATTCATGGCAGTTCCAGTGAGAAACTTTTATGTATCAAAATGCATAAACATATTCAAACGTATCAAGCAGAATCATTAGATCCAGCCTGAGGAAGCTGACCTTAATGTAATCATACATCCAACCATGTTTAAGTTAAAAAGAATGTGGTCGAACACTCCTCGAATCGGCAGATAATTGGGCAATATTTGACTTTGAACGAAATCAAGGATATTGAACTGATACGAACCAGTGAGCCCAAACGTCGCATTGATAAAGTACTGAAACATGTAGAAGCATTTTTATCAACCGACAAACCAAGTGTTTTGTGTTAAATTTGTTCTGTACGTACACGTGCAACGCAAGGAAACATATTTTGTGGTCAAACATTACCAGTACATGACTTCCTGTTAAAATAAAAAGATCTATTTGGTTGAAAATATTACCAGAACCTACCTTAATAGCAATGCTGTCCATATCGTCATAGCTGACCCATTGTGTATTGTAGTAAGCGTATGGAGCTTTATTGATGACATTCCATTGTCGTATCCAACCCCGCACCACCAGCACACAAATCTGCAACATAGTATATACGGCTGAGTTTTCAAAATGTTTGGACTAAAGGTAAGAATTTCAAGGTCAATATACATCTCATTATATATACCAAATATTTATGATTCACATTCAGTTATTCAGTTGTAATAAAACCTTCTAAAATCAGTACAAAATTTCAGTAGATACTTTGTGAATGAATACACTGTTGCTGGTTTACACCTATTCGGTGACACTTCTCTTTCGGAACAAGAAAACCTAACCATATTTTTGCATACACAGGAATATATCCACTTGTTTATAATTGTTTCATTGATAAAACATCCTACTGCCACCTTGTAGATATAATGTGCGGGTATTAATGTGTTTGGAAAGGGCTTTATAAAAGTTGTAAAACTTGTGCCCAACCCTATTGCTAAGTGCGTGCAATAAAATACGCTTAAATCGCTTTTCCCGTTCCTGATTATACCTTTAGAAATTAGTGACCATTCATGGCATGAGAACATAATGATATGACTCAAAGTTGTGGGAACATTACATGATGTGCGATGTGCAATGTGCGCACGATGTCTGCACGATGTATGTACGCTGTGCGCACGATGTATGTACGATATGTGCATGTAAGAAACAATGAACGAAATGAGCTGTCACATGTTTATGCACACATTGTGCGGTTCTCTCACACAAATGTGCGATTCTATTGTGGTTGATATAAATTCAGAAACGATTTATTAATAAGTGTGGGATAGGGTTTATTTATTTTCTAAGTATATAACTAAGTATATTTCCTAATTAAGCCAATAACATATAGTTTAGATATATCAGATATACACTGAATAGTTAGATACACTCGTAATTTTCAAGGTTTTGTTTACAAAAAGCAACACGTGACCAGCCTTAGTGTACGGACACACATTATATATACATTATATACGTAAACATGGACGTTTCTTAATGTCACAGCAATGCATGATTTAAAATTTCATACCGTCAGAAATGAATTTTTATTTTCATTACTTCTGTATTGCTCTTATTTTTCATTCAATTTGTAAACAAAAAAACATTTGCTCAAGTACATTTGTACATCTGAAGTTTTGTGTTTGTTACACGGTTGACGCAGCCGGTACGGATCCGGACCTGCGACGTATTTACCCGTATACCAGTAAACTTTTGTTGCCCGAGGCACCACTACTCACCATTCTCTGAGGTACGATAAGACTGATTAATGCAGGTCCATTGTTATTTCGAAAACTGTCGCAAGAAGAATGACTTTTAAAATAACCGATCAATTCTAATGTTTATATGATCGCTATTTAGTAATAACTCCACGAATTTTCCGTTTAATTATCAATCAGTAATATATACCAACCATTTTTACCAAACCGCACAAAATGCGTAATCCTATCGCACGATGTGCGCACGGTGCATGCACAATCTGCGCACGAGGTTTTTTGGTGCGTTATGCTTTACCACAATTGTATGTTTATCTGAACGGTTAAATTGAAATTGAAATAACTTCTGTGCTTTAAATACCCTCAACAGTTAGTAATATTTGTTAATATGATCATGATATAACATCATATTATTATTAATAATTTCAATGCAATTACAGCATGTTAGTTTAAACATGTTTTGAGAAAAATTATCAAATGAAAATATTAAATTGTGTCTAGAACAACAAAGCATATTTTGTATGCATGTATCACCTCGAAATACGCCATGAAACCGTCTGTTTTGGTGTGAGGTTGCGCCAACCCAGGCCCTAATGTGTCTGCCCCAATGACGTGGTCATCCTGAGACCGAAGGGTGAAGGATCGTCCATAAAACCCTAGACCTAATATTATCTTCTCCTTGGGAGCTCCATGTCCTATCCAGTATTTCACGGCGAAGTCCTGTAACATAGACTAGGTCAAAACATACGTGTGTCTAGAAATACTTCTACACGAGAATGCCTTTATACAACAGAAGCTCCTCAATATCAAATGCCATGTTTTCTCCGTTGTATCCACTTGTTTCAGAGAATATAATGCAGTTAAGGTCGGGATGTTATTTAATAATTTTTATTTAAATTCTAGCATGTAGACACTGACCTAATTGTTGTTAGTACTTTAGATAGAATTACGGTGACCTGTGACGTAACCATTATTTTTAAGTTCTAGCCTGTACCCACTAACCTGACTGTTGTTGTTAGTACTATAGAGCGGACTATTGTGACCTGTGGTGGAATCCCAGCTCCCATGTAGATCATACGCCATTAAGTTGATAAAGTCAAGGTACCTAACGCAGAAATAATTCTGGTGTTACATTACACAAATCATTATGAGAATACGTTTTGCAGTTTTTAATATCATGGAAAAAAGCTCAAAATTATACAAATATGAGAGGCGTTACGTCATTTGTTTATTTGTGTTAAATCATCAACACTGTTTATACCTTGACATCAATAAACCAAAGCTGGAATATGACGCTTGCTCCAGAAAGATAACATCGGCGCAATGCTAATGCATCATTAAATGCAAATAGAGTCCTAACTTACGAAAATTTTAACAATAGAAATGTTTCAATTTGTTTAATTGTTTTCCATAATCTGCTAACATCAAACACTTTTTCAGAATACACATATTTTCTAGTATATAAACTGCTGATCACTGTTATATCAAATCAATTAGTATACCAAATTTAAACGATTAAGTAGCATATATTACAGACCACGTACCGGGAGAGTTTAGTGATTTCGTATCCACCGTCAATGATAGAACGTATCGCTGATACTGCAGCGGTAAGAATTAGGCGAGGTAAACCAGTGGTGGCGGCAGAGTGGTCAAACTCCTGTCGTAATCCCTAATGCAATAAATATAATATAATGACGAGAAAACACAATCAATCTTTAGAAACGATAGATATTATATATTTAAGGATTGGATTTTGCTGATGTCGACTTCATGGAATGATGAATTGCGAAGCAGTTTATGCTGAATTTGTCTCAAGACCAACTCAATCCATCATCCCATGAAATCGACATAAGCAAGTTTCAATCCTTATATTTCAATTCACGCTTCTTTTTTCTATAGCATGGTAACTGACGTAATTAATCTTCTGCTTTCATTTTTGTTTCTTGTCATCGCATCGTCTGACGTCATACAAGCAAATAGTCTGTCATTTGAAGACAAATTATTGTGATTGGTTGAAATATATTTCAGCGTGGTTACTTAATATTCAATGAAACATAAATAAGAACAAAATTTTATATATCTTTCAACAACTTTAATAAAAATTTAAATAATAGTTTGCAACAAAGACAGTATGCATTTGCCCCGCGGAGGAATAACGTCTAGACGTGGTGCGCCGGTTCGCAAACGAAGCGGTGTTGGCCATTTTTTTCACAGTCACCGAAGCGGAGAGCAAGAAATATCAGGCTTCAGTCGCTTCACATCTTTTGAAACGTAAAGTTACAGTTATTAAATGTTGAATTGGACAAGAAACCAGCAGTTGCTTGAAACGATGAGACGATTTGTTGCGATAGCTGGCTGTTAGACGGTATTTCAGATACGCACTGGCAATGTTAATCTGGTCAAATGCATTGGTAAATGAAACAGATCACATTTAGTAGTTCCATTGATTCTGATCTGGGTAGAAATTGAGATAGACACAATTAATGAAGCAAAACACTTGCGGCATTGTAGGTCGCATTCGTAATAATTAAATTCTATTTACATAAAAAAAATTTGGACAAAGACAGTAAATTGAAAAAAAAAAAAAAATGGGATCAGGTGTTCCGGAAGAGTAAGTGTCTTCTGCTTCAACGACGACATCCGCCATATAAATCTTGTTAAATTCAAGAAAATAATGTCACGCTCTCAAATGAGGCCAAGGCATACAAAATCGGAACCAACAGCCACACTAACGAACGTCAAACACATCCTGATTCATAGTGCACAAACAAAACAAAGCAATAGAAAGATTATCCATGAGATCACTATCCTGACCGTAAACATTTCTCTTAATTTTCATCAACCTGCATCTTTTGAAAGGAAATAAAATAATCAAAACTTCACCTAACATTGTCTCTAAAAGACACGAATAGAAGATTAATTCAAATAGCAGTTCCTTAAGAAGAACTCTTTTCCGTCACCATAACTTCTTGTCTTCACTACTTACCTTAACAAGGGAAGTAAATCGATATTTATCTATTGGTGGGCTTCCACGAGTTCCTGGGAACTCCCAGGCTAAGTCTAAACCATCAAACTTGTGTTTCCGGAGATACTTCAATGCGTTACTTGCAAAGCTTACTATACTTTTCGGGGTTGCCACCGTGTCTGAAAATGCGGCGGTGCTGTGTGTCCAGCCTCCGATGGCGAGCAGCACAATTAGGCGAGGCTGGACAGCTTTCAAGGCAAGTACACGGCGATAGAGATCTATAAAGATAATGAAAAATCATATGGCTTAGTTCTACTAAGGCATTTCGCCGTTTGGTAACAGTTCAAACAAGAAAAAAACTAACCATACATATATTAGCGGTCATAAAGCACTACATCTTTACTTAGGCCAAGTGTTCTTGCAGATAAAATTTCATCGACTTTAATCGGAAATCTAAGCCAGCCGAAATTATGTAACGCTTTCAAAATTAGAGCGTAATAGGTAACGACAAAAGCTCAAACCACATTTACGCGCATCAAGTAGTTACTCCATTCCAAATACACTTTGATGAAGGTATAGAAATTTAGATAAATCCCAATTCCTTCATATTACATGCGATAACCAGAGATTCTCATCGCACATTAAAAAAGAAACAAATTATCTTATACACAACAGCGACAAATTCAACTAAACTGCTAAATTACGCCAGAATCAGCGAATCAGTACGAGGCGCCACATGTGCACCATTGTCAACTTGCAAAGTTACAAAATATATCAAAGAGTAAGTTTCAAACTGGTGTAAGTAATGGCAAGATTGTGCACTGTTGCGCAAGCCTAGTCGTCTTTCGGAATTATCTATAATTAAAGTTGGGGAAACATATACAACAGCTAAAGTATAGAGGAAAGCGGATGATGCAGATGAGTTTGTTATGGTTTCGTTGTCAGATTTCCATCATTCTATCAAAGTAAGAAGAACTTTATCATATGTGAACACCATTACATCGCATTTTTTAAATCTGAAATTACCAAAGTAATGTTTAAGCATTCGAATTAGACACTCACCATGATCATTGGGTTCCACCATCTGGATGTCGTTGTTCTTGAGTTTGGCGAAAGCAAAGATGACGTGCGTGCAAAGATCAGGATCAATATCCTCTGGGAGAAAGGTCAAAGATTGTGAACGATGTTGTGACCAGTTGGTATAGTAACACACACGTTTGTAGTCATGATCATCTGAAAAATATTTCTCTCAACTCTTATTCACAGTTCGGCGATGCGTGAAGTATTACGGGTTTTCCGGTTAACAATGTTTTGAATACTGGACACGCAAAAGCTTCAAAGCTATGTTAAGCCTATGGTATTCTTTCATGTTAGAAAATATAATAATCTTTCTATATTCAGCATTAGATTCAAACAATGTTTCCAAAATCATGACACGATAAGACAAATAAAGTGCATAAACCGCTTATCACCTGAGACCTCATCTTTGGTTTGAACTGGAGTTCCACGTTGAACAGACGGCACCAATCCGGTATTATCACTTGGTAGAGTGTCCTGAAGTTTTCTAAGTATGGGGTTGACACCATCTCCACATTTCCCCCTAAAATCATCCATGCCAATGGCCCATACCATGACTCCTCCTAGACCACGTGATTTGACGTATTGTGCCTTTAATAGAAAAAAAATGAAAAAAAAAAAAAAAAAATGAAAATGGTGCATATGACCTTACCCCACGCCATTTAAAAGAATTATCGATTAATAATTTTTTTTCATTCAAAACAAACAGATTTTTCAACGCAACCTATGTGACTGAGGATATAAATGGCGAGCTACCTTAATAGTAATACTTTGTAGGTCATCGTATCCAACCCATTGGTCTTCAGAGTAAGCGTACGGCACCTGGTGCTGTTGGTGCCACTTCTTCGTCCAGCCATTTTGGAGGTATTGGCAAACCTATGATGGACATATCATAATGATTACACTGTCCTATGAACATCATCAAAGACCTTATCAGGTTTATGATGTGACGTAAGGATGCAGTCTATGGCAACAGAAGGACGTTAGGCATGAAAAATCTTACGAAGTAATGAAATTGGTGAGTGGTCACTATGCTTAATAGGAACAATGGATTATCGTATGTCAATGCGTATGCTCTGCCGTTTATACTTGCGTGTGTTTACTTGGTATATGTGTTTATAATCTGATGTAATCAACCAATTCAATTACACACGTGTACCTCATAGTAAGCAAGAAACCCTGCCTCGGAAGTGAACTTTCCTGGACGCCCTGGTCCCATGGCAATATCGCCCATTTCTTTTCCGTTGTCCGTCCGAAATGTCCGACCGTAAGTCGCAATGCCCAGCATTAACTTCTCGGGAGGGGCACCATTGGACAGCCAATGAGTCACACCCCAGTCCTGAAATGAATGAGTCATTAAACACTTTATACTTCTAACCATTTCTTCCATATCCAACATATGCAATCCGATCCTTATACCATATTTTGCCAAAATTGCATGATGGTGATGTACCTGGTTGAGTTGAGCCATTACCCGAGACTCACCGTCCCGGGAATATAACGGACTGTTATGGCCAAGGGTCTTGTCCCAGAACCCATGCAGGTCATACGTCATAAGGTTGATTAAGTCCAGATCTCTGTAATGGAAATATTTCTTTCATGTATGGCTGTTTTGCATTTGATGATACTGCGTATTTTGCTTGAACAGGTCAGATGATAGATATATTATGAATGAGTGATGAAAAGATGGAAAGATGTAATTATGTATAATAGAAAAATAAGTCATGTCTCTCTTTTGTCGTTTATTACCTTTAACAAAAACAAAATAGAGAAAATATCGAAATCTCAGTAGAAACCTTAAAATCTTATGTAACTATTGTAAAGTGTGAACAAATGAATAATGTACATGGGGACCCATGAAAAATATAAGGACAAGAAGACCAAGCGTTTCAGAAGGGTAAGCGTACCAATGAAGATTCTAACGCTTTACTTGCATATGCTTTACTTATATTGGTACAAGTACCTGTTATTACACAACTGTTACACGCGTGTTTCATATGCACGTACTTAGCTATCTTTGTAATTTCATAGCCGCTTTGGACAATTTTTTCGTCTACGGATACTGCAGCCGTTAACAGAAGTCGAGGTAGACCCGTCTGTACCCCTTCCGCCTCGAACTCGCTTCTCAGAATCTGGAAACAGTAGGACACATATGCAGATAAGATAGTAGTAAATCACTAAAGTCACATCAGCACAGCAGCGATAAAATTGACTACCGATGGAGACCAAGAGTGATTTGGCATCGGCGCGGCATGACTGTCACGGTTAAATGCGTTTGGTAACGCACGGTACACTGTAATCTGATACTTAAGGCATTTTACACTCACTGTATTTGGTGACTGAATGGAATCGACGCATTATACACACATATAATATCTACAAGCAGTGATAATGATTGTACAGATTAAGGAAAGAAAACCAATACATGTTATTAGACAATTCCGTCACCATTTTAAAACATAGATATTAGAAAATACGGTATGCAATAGAATTATAATATGCAAGTTATTCGTATGTCGTCCAATCTTTTCAAGAACGGATAAACCCTGAAATACATGGAAAGAACAGCTATCTGCGCAATTAATATATTCTGCCGGTTGACAGCCGGAATCGATTCTTAAAATCATATCAAAGATATATCAAAGAAATGATATTTGAATTATGAATGATCGATAATTGTCAATTACAGGTAGTTATGGGGCTGATATGCAGACAAAATAATATCTAATTGTGACACAAGATTACGAAAGTGAATTGTGAAGTTTCAAACATTTTTACAATTGGACAAAGGTAACAGTTCCTTGACGTACAAAAACAATTAATACCAAAAAGTCTACAAACTCACTCGTAATAACTGTGTGAACCTCTGTTTGTCCGCAGGTGGACTGTCCCGAGAACCAGGATATTCCCAGTCCAAATCTAGTCCATCCAGGTCCCAGGATCGGAGAAAGGCAATTGCATTTTTGGCAAAGGCTTCTATACTGGCACGAGAGTTGACCAGAGCGGTGAAGGCTGTCGTACCGTGTACCCATCCTCCTACTCCCAATATCACTTTCAGATATCGGTTGGACTCTTTCAAATTCACCACTCGTGTCAAGGTATCTGCACATACCAACATTTGTTATTTTACAGTAACGATCAATAACATTTCCAAACATTATTAAAACGATTCTCTATCCTTGGAACAGTCATAAAAATTCAAATACAAGCAAAGCACACGAATATAAAAGTCTGTTAGTCATAAAAAAATAATTTAATACACTGCACATAATATAGAACATTAATATTATAGAAATGTTAAATTAACTAACCTTCCTCCGTGAAGTCGTTCAGCCCTATGTTATTGCCGTCTACCGAAGCAAAGGCGTAGATGATATGGGTACACAAATTAGGATCTATATTTTCTGGTGTAAATCGGCCTACTCCTCTACGATATTTTGACCAGCTGGTGTAGTAGCACACGCGGTTGTAGCCGCTGTAAACACTCTCTACGAAAAAATAAAAAAAAATAATTAATGACTTTTTTTTTATTCCAGTAGTCAAAATAAAAACGTCACGTAATTATTGATAGATAGGTAAGATGTAGTTGTTAAATGTACAAAAGTTATTCGATTACAAAAAAGTTTAATTTAATTTTTGAACGATAACAAGAAACAGCTTGATATGGAATAACTAATGGCTATGAAAAATGATAAAACTATAAAGATGATATTCAATAGGCAATTTATATGCAATGTATTGACAAATCGATCATACTCTATATATTAAAGTATTTTATAACAGAATATGTCTGTAATATTATTTTTTTATTACAATGGAGAACGACAAAACGTACATATGAGAACGATAAAAAATATCAAATATGGAAACACAAATTTTCGAAATATATTGTGAAACACTCCTTTGCCTTGCAAGTGATAAATAAATTCTTGATAAGTAAAATGATGTAACAATACACATTCCAAACAATGAATATTTCAAAATAAACAAGAGTGATAACTGAAAGGCAATGAAAATGTTTCATCAGGCATAACATATGTAAAATATTCTTATGTCAATATCGTATCAGTGTCAATTAAATACGTCAAAAGCAAGATAAATTCCAAAAGTCTAAGAATACAAATGATTAATTTCAGTAAACAATGCTGATATTAGATAATAAACCGCATCTATTTATAAGTATTACTTACCGATAAGCAAGATAATAAGACATAAGACTGACCAGGGTGACGTCATCTGTCAAAATAAATTGACCATATCCTGAAATCATAGAGAGACAAGTAGTGCGTTCATGCAAAGATTGGCAGTATGTGTAATCGCCTTAGGTTCTGAGTGTCACTGACCAAACTGAGCATTTCGTATACACCGTGTCGCCACAACACTGACCATTACTAACCTGGTGTTGGTACAACATTGACCACTAAAACCTTTCACGTGTCCTCGTCACAGTAATTAGTTATTGGCCATTACCTGGCCTGGTCCAGTTCGGTGTTCGGGACTCGCACCGTTTTCATGATGTACACTAAGTTATTAAATGTGCCTATGCCAGTAAACCTGTGTTGTTCGTGATCAGGACATGTACTGAATATGTCGTCTTTTTTAATGAATAGGTTGTTCAGGACGATGCAACAAAACAGGCACAAAAGTAAGGGAAATAACGTACGTGCATTGACCTTTTACAAGCATAAATATACCAATCCTACCTTAGCTAACAATCTATAGTATAGCTGGTACAACTAGCGAAACTTCTTTTATAATTTTCCTCTAGTTCTCTACAAACATTTAATTAAGAAAACTGATCATTTTATCTAACAAACTATTTTTAAAAAATCTGTTATACAATAGCGTACCGGAGATTTTAAAATTAGTTTACCATGCAGAATGTAAGACAAAAATGACTCCATATTAAACATGTTCTGGTAAGCAAACAGAGGCTAAACAAATACGTCGAGATGATAATATCAAGTGTTTTTTTTTAACTTTACGTCATACAATCGTCTGTAATGAATGCATATAACACATGAATAATTGAATCAGTAAGTGGTAGATGAATGAACAGTTACGATGGGCTCTCTCTCTCTCCCCTCTCTCTCTTTATAAATATAATTCATGTTTGAATTTTAAATCAACGCTACACTGTGTTATAAAGGACATTTGATCATGCAAAAACATAATTATCAATGCTGTTATCAATATTTTGCTATATATTTTTTTTATTAAACATATCTAAAATATCTATTGATATAAAGTTTCGGAGAAAAATGCAAAATACATTTTAAACCTCTATATTCTTTACTACATTGTCGCAACTTATAATGTGGCAATCGATTGATAATGAATTTACCTGTCATATGATCACGTGACGTCGCACTAGCAACAGACCCCGACACAGTGCAATTATCTCATTTCAGGTACACAAACAAACTCATATTAAGGTGGACAAATATTATTTTCATAAAAATTCTTATCAAAGTACAAAGTTACTTAAATTTGTGAATTACACTAGGACTCTAAAAAAAGTTTATCTCTGTACGTGTAGCAAGTTCCGTACCCGTAGCTAGGTATTTAAGCACATTGAAGCAGATAATACAATTTGTCACCGATTTCTTGTGTTTTTCATTGTAGACATTTCCTTTGTTTACATCATGCCATCTACCATTTTCAACAATAAAATTGTGATTGGTTATACCAAATTAACACAATGCAAGTCTACTCTTATCACTTAAGTTATCTAAATAATACTCAAAATGCTTTAAATAAATTCTATACATTGGTTTTCTATTTCAGCAAATATTGTTCGTACCATCTTTTTCTAAACATATTTTCTTTATTGGAAATTCCATATTAAATTCTGCAGTGTATTAAGCATTCCATATGTAGTTCATACCATATCCATTACCAACACGTTTACAAAGCTGTTGAATGCAGCTGGCTTTTATCAACACAATGCTTTATATCCCGTATCTTTTAATATCCATCCTCTACTTCGGTATAAGATTTATCCACTCGAACGGTCAACATGTCTAATTTTTTTCTTCAATTTCTTCCAAATTTGCATTATTTTTTTTTTCATTTACTTCTTACATCATTCTTATCCTAGTTTTCATCATTTCTTTAACATTCTGGTCATTGCCTTCCTATAAAATTTCTCTACATTCAGACAATTATTTAGGGGTGGACATACCTGTATTTGCAGCCATCTTGTACAGTAGTGTTACAGGTCCCCACGGACACGTTTGGAATTCCAACAAAAATGAATACTTCTCACTAGTTTCACAGAATTTCGTTTGTATCCAAGGTCAGTTTTATGTTCAACACAGTACTGCCAAATAAAGACGTTTTAAGTTCAATGCATTAAAATATACACTAATCTTTTCACTCTTCATTTTCTGCGCGTTACCTGTACGGCACACTATTTATCCAGTTCACCCAGGTTTTTTAAAAAACATTTTGAACGATATCGTCACGGCAACAGTACCCGTAAATCGTGTTGTTTAGTCGGACCTTGATTTCTAGTTCTTTGGTTCAGTGTGTCACGCGTGAATGTTTATTTGCCCACAGGAGCATACAAAACAGGGAAACTATGTGAATCTTTATTGCTTCATGTCCCTGTGTTATCCGACTGTTTGCCTAAATTTTACCTCGACTCACATCGATCCCAGCAACGTCGGCAACAACGTAATAAATTGTCTCCCACTACTGTGCGGTTTGAATATTCGTAAGCTTAATATGAATTGATTTGTTCGTGAGAGGTAAATGCGTACATTTTTGTTCCTTTTTGCTTATAATTCCCCTCTTTCTTAGATAACATGTTACATAGCTAGGGATGATAAGAACCTAACATCCCCACCAGTCGGAAAGTTAAACATGGTCATCAAAACACTGTCCTTGTATGCCATCGTGTTACTTGTATTTTTAGCCTGTATTGGAATGCACCAGGCGGTGATTTATTATGTTAAGATTATGATTGCATTAATTAAACCGCATTAATGATACGTGTATTGGAATATTTTGATAAATCAATCTTAATTTTTTGAAGAAAAAAAATATGAATTACAAAAATTCGATTACTCTTGCCTCTGCCGTCTGACGTTTAAATATAGATATCCTCGTCTTGGAGTTTCCTCTGAGGTCCATGGCACATGTGGGGTATTTTCGTCATGGCGACCGTCACCTCGGAGTGGTTCAACAGGTGCGACACCATGTTTCCAGTCTAGCTTTATACAGCGTTTGAGTATTCCAATTCGGCAACATTTCGAGATTTGCTTCGTTAGTCGTGAAGTCTTTTTACTATGTAACTGAGAGTGAGATTTTGTAATATAGGTCTATCTACGCTTTCTAGCCGTCCATCTTCCATTGGAAAAACGAAATATCATGAATCAATGCATCCTTTTGTAAGTTTGTTATTACAGCCAAACGTTTCGCAATGCAGTGTTTTCACGATATAGAAGAATTACAATGATCATGAAAACAGTGTCTAATCAGTTTTAAAAAGTCAATGAAAATTATGTTCTTTTAGTAGAAATCTATCGCTAATGTTCATTGCTGAATCTCCCCGTGACCATATCAAGGAGACCAGTAGATCGTGCCGTCATACTGGGCTTCAAGGCTCGTATCGTTAAGTAAATATGCATAACGCTGAACGGCATTTCAAATTCTAAAACAAACACAAATAAAAAAAAAATAAACAGCGTTTTCTATTGAATTGTCTTTCAACTTGTTTGTAACAATCGGGTTATGTTTACACCATTTTCTGTCAAAAGATGAATTTTTCCAATCATTTTGATAAAAATGCCTTCAGCATTATTTTATTATATCAAATATATACAATATTTCCGCATGAAGTTAATTGACTGTAGGAATATTTATATTAATAAATAAAGATGTTGAAAAATCTTATTACTAATATCAGGAAAATAAGTCAAAGACTGCCTACACTGATTTTTACTAATATGCTAAGTATGCTGATACCAAAGATCTGTAGAGTAAGCGCGGTCTTTTATCCAAAATTTGTATTAATTTCATGTACGTGAATTTAAATGAACACTTTGTTTAAACAAATGATGAAGAGAAATACTATTTTTTGAAAATGCACATGTTGTTATAGAAATAAATAAAACTTTGACGGCAGTTTAAAAAAAACACAGTTTTGTTACTGACATTCTTTATATGAAATATTATACCAGGTTTTGCATTTGACATATTGACATTATTTTTGTGAAAATTACTGAAATCTGACAGTGCTTATATTGTACCTGTAGGTTTAATACCCTGACACGTCACTCTCAAATTGCGCTTTTCAACCTGATTGGAAAAAGTCAAAGTTACTCTCGTTTTGAAAGTAGGTGATATGACTTGAGTCAATAGTAGACGACCTGTCTCTATTGTATGGAGCTTCAATAACATATTGCATTATATGGTTTGACTGGTAAGTAATTGCCAATTTGTGTTTTGTGATGCATTTTATTGATATAGTGCTCTTTTGTCGAACTTCATAACATAATTGACACTGTAAACTTCGGATTTGCACATCTTTCCATATTTGTTCTTGACAATAATGTTCAACATTGACTCGTCATATTTCCCAAATCCAATTTAAAACTTGACCTTTCTTGCAAGCAGTTCAAGATAAGACAAACGAAAAAAATCCTCTAATGCCGAGGTTTTAGACAGATTATTGGCGACTTAACGTCGTGACGTAAGAAAGTGTGTTTGAAATGATTCGATAACGTATACAATTGGCTGTTCGTATTTCTCAAATCCAATCTGAAACGTGACCTTTCTAGATAAGACAACCGACCTCAATCGAGAACTAAAGTCTGACTTATAGACCCTGCGTGTAATTGTATGCTAATGCAGATGGTTAGAAAGGTTATTGGCGTCGTTGGAGAAAAGAGTGCTTGAAATTTACTCACAAAGGTAAGTTATGTCTTTGGTAAATCTTTTGTTTCACTGTATCTCACTCTAAACTTGTATTGAAAGGTGTTATCCACTTGTGTGTCTATTGTACAATCCTGTAAATTTGGAAATGACAGAACCCTATCAGAAGATCAGTGTAAATTGACAATGTTATTCCATCGCAAATTTCTGATTTCTCAAAGTACTAAATTCATACAACAGACAATACCATGTGTTGATAAAGTATTCATTTCCATATCTCACATTGGCACCGAATATTATAAAGAGGAATAGTGCCTGTTAAGTCATAATTGAATATGAAGCATATGCATCCACCATGACTATCATATGTTATTGAGGATGCTCTGAAATTATGAGATATATGAAAACTACGAAATTTATTGTATCATTGGGCGGTTAGTGCACCTCCTCATATAGATTGTGACTTTTCTTTCGATCACTTTGGATTTTACTCAGTTGCCTCCCAGGATTAATAAATTAGGCCCTTATCATCCCTGACGACAGTTAGAAAGACGAAATAGCTATATGATGCATTATAATAATTTTTTTGGCTCTCCTGCATCTAATGCATTAAAATGTGCTTTTCACTTTGGGGTATTGTAGGACTGTCATGGGCATATAAAACTAAAACAAAATAATACAATTCAAACAATAACATGTTACGGACCTGAATTTAGATCTCTATTTTATCCGGTTAAGAAACTACAAAGGTACAATCGTTAGCACGATTTCTGTTCTTTCAGAACTCTACGAGTGAAGATGGCGTCGTTTCTCCTTGTGTCAGTACTGTCGATCATTATCTGTTTTGGCGGTAAGTTGAAATTAAAGAAAAAAGTTGTCAAAAACGGGATTAGAACTTTTATTCTGAGGGATACGACTGTGATCCCAATGGGTTAACTATAGATGGCTTCTACCATATAGGATAAATATATTCAGCATAACTATGCTCCCCTTTCATCTTAAGGGAATGGCGTAACAACCGGTCGGTATCTGGTAACGAAACGCAATAAGATCGCACAAACAATTATTGATAAATTATGTTGAATTCATTTCGAAATTAAATACACGTTAGTGTCACTCATCGTCAGGTTTCTGTTTTAGATTGCGTAACCGGAGACTACGTGCGAGTATGTTACCATACCAACTGGTCCCAGTATCGGCCAGGGTATGGCAAGTTCATGCCCGAAGATATCCCAGCTGATTTATGTACCCACATCATCTATGCCTTTGGTGGCCTTCGAGACAACAGCATCACAGCTTTTGAGTGGAATGACGATAGCACTGATTGGAGCGTCGGTAGGTAGATATTCGTACGATGAAATAGGAACTTTTCGGTAGACAATTATTACTGCAAATAAAATAACGATATAATTTAGTATTTAATGCGGAAGTGACGATGTGAAAAACTGTTCGGTAGGTTAACATTCCTGATACTGAAGTGACGACCTAAAAACCTGGTTAGGAGACAAATATTTCTGATACTTAACAAACGAAGTAACAATCTGGTGGGTAGGAAAATACTGCTGATATTGAAGTAACGATGTAACAAACTGGTCGGTACCGACCCAGACAAGTTCTCTGTTTCATTTTAACTGCAGCGTTTCCTTACCGTTTCCCTGGTAAAACCGTAGCGTTTTGGTCCCATTACCGTACTACCATGCTCTGCGTTTACGACTTCCCACCAAGAAACGTTCGGTGGAAAATCGTGCTTCGTATGAAACGAAAAATATTTCCGTTTTCCTACACTGAAGTTATATTTCAATACTGCATTTCTCCCATTTAAAAATGATGAAATGTTATGACAATACTCATGGTCCTGTTTTTACCTGTATTCTCCTTTATTGCCTGGATTACACTGTCATGTAGAGTATATTCGCAATTCTTCTGATATTTGGATTTAAAGATCGCTTTTGAAGGAAAAAAGTAATCGGAAATTCTTGCTGACCACAGAGTCAGTATTTAATGATACTACTATACGGTCTAATAAAAAGAATGGCAAATGCACAAGTTCAAGTGACATTTCTTTACGACAAGTTTGGTATGTAGAACATCACCCACAACGGCGACATCTACTGAGGTGAAAGTGTAACTTGAGATGTACCATTCCCAACTGTCACGATACCCTGAGTAATCCCATCATCATCCCTTCTCGAAACGGCAGCTTTCCCTACAACCACCCAAAGGGATCCGGCTAAGGAAATAATGGACTCCATTTGTAATTGCTGGGAGGAGGAGATGAAATCCATACATGAAATCTACAAGGAGAGTGACTAAGCTATGATCCTATAATTAGAACAACGACACTCAGAATACCACCAAACAACTACCCGTGAGAAGTTGCTCTGCCTTCGACGCACTACCGCAACTACTCAAAACCATTTAGATATCAAACGCGAGGGAAAAAAGTAAAATTTTAACAGCTTGATGAAGGTGACCAATCCAGGATTATAGACACCGACTTGATCAAGCTCTGTAAAAATCTCTTCTTTGATGGAACATGTTATATATGTTTGTCTTAGTTCCCCCCAGATCTAAACCTCCATGGTAGAAAAGAAGACCAGGTGTACCAAATTCTAAGAAGTTTATAGTATACTAACGAGTTTTGCGTCAAAGGCAAATACAGGTTGACAGACATTTCGGTGTCCATATTTACACTATAGAACGTCTTGTTAGACGTCGAAGGGAAACTGGGCAGGTTGCTGACAAACATAGGTCGTCCACGCAACCGGTATCTTACTGCCATTGAATCTGTCCATCATACCATAGGTACTCATAACCGTCATATCCATACAAAAATTATTGGAACGTTTACTGAAAAGTGAGGATAGTCACCCGTTTGTATGTCTGTTCCTGATCGCTGCTCGTCGCAACCGCCGTATGGCTTGGGTGGCGGCACATGCCCCCAGAATATTCCCATTTAGGGTGTGGAGGCAGGTCTGGCTTTTTGATGAGTCCCGGTGGTCTCTGGGCTGTATGCAGGGAACTGTGGGAATAACCCGTAGGCAAAGGGGTAATAGTCAAGAACTTAGTAATGATTAAGTGGAAAATACAGATTAAAGGGCCAGTTTGATAACAATATAATACATGTGATTTGTAACAATGTTGTTTATAAATCCTTTATATTCACATATTTCGCAATCAAATTTTTGCTTGATAGTGGGAAGTACTCACTCATACATGTAAAGGCAAATTGTACAGACTAAGAAATTAAGAGTCAGGGTATGAGGTCTGACAAGACGAGTCTTTTTTCACTCGCTGTTTTAGTCTGTTCGAGATGAGAATTAGGAAGTAAGTCAGTCACTTCATAATTTTTCGTCACTCGGGACAATTACTCGGGTATAACAGCTTGTTACTTGAAAACTATGCATTGACCTTTAAACAAACAATTCTGCATATGGATCTGAATCATATGTTGCAGGACTCGTAATGCAAACCTATGCGTGTACAGGTCTGTAGGTGTATATTACTTATACTGAAGTAATGACGTAACACCGCAGTCAGTAGGTAAATATTTCTGATACTGAAGTAATGACGTAACACCGCAGTCAGTAGGTATTACTGATACTGGAGTGATGACGTAACACCGCAGTCAGTAGGTAAATATTCCTGATGCTCTAGTGATGACGTAACACCGCAGTCAGTAGGTATATATTACTGATACTGAAGTGATGACGTAACACCGCAGTCAGTAGGTAAATATTCCTGATGCTGAAGTGATGACGTAACACCAAAGTCAGTAGGTATATATTACTGATACTGAAGTGATGACGTAACACCGCAGTCAGTAGGTAAATATTCCTGATGCTGAAGTGATGACGTAACACCGCAGTCAGTAGGTATATATTACTGATACTGAAGTGATGACGTAACACCGCAGTCAGTAGGTAAATATTACTGATACTGGAGTGATGACGTAACACCGCAGTCAGTAGGTAAATATACTTGATACTGAAGTGATGATTTAACAAACTGACCGGCGGGTAATTATTCCTGATACTGAAATGTTGACGTAGTAACGTATGTATATAGTGGAAAATAATTCCATGGCGTGCACGTCTTTGCTTTGAAAAAATGCTCTCTAAATTCAGGAATGTATGAGAGAACAATGGCTCTAAAGAAACAGAACCCCAGCCTCAAGATCCTGCTTGCTATAGGGGGCTGGAACCAAGGCTCGGCAGAATTCAGTGAAATTGTTCGAACGAACAGCAACATGCAACAATTCGCAAATCAGTCAATATCATTCCTGCGACAAAGAGATTTTGATGGCCTTGACCTTGACTGGGAGTACCCGGGGTCGCGTGGCAGTCCACCCGAAGATAAACAACAATATACAAAATTGGTTAGGGTAAGAACCTTACGTATTGTTACGGAGAGGAAGATATCTCTAAGTTAACATTTTGAAATAATTTTTTGAATATTGCACTTTCCCTAACATTGACAAATCAGTTCATGACTGTTTTATCTTAATGTTTCATAAATTGGTAGATCTTGAAAGACGAATTCGAGAAAGAGGCAGTGTCTTCCGGAAGGGAGCGTCTGATGTTGACCGCCGCGGTTGCTGCTGGCAATGAAACCACAGAATCAGGATATGAAATTGATAAAATTGCTGTGTAAGTATCCTTTCATGATGGCACTGTGCTTACATAGCATCACTGACGAGTCCTAGAATCTTAGATCTACTATTGTACTTTGATATAAGATATAATCTGTTAACCGATCAGTATCAATATGAATATTTCTTACATTTTGGAGATAATTTTAGAAAATGTTCGTGTATTGTATCTCTCTTTTTACGAGAGAAGCATCTCGAAAAAATCAGAATCATCTAAATGAATCATATACAAAGTCGTGACTCTTGTATTGAAGTTGGTGCATACAGTTTGTTGTCACGATGTACACGTGTTACTTTCGGTTTCATCCTAGTGATCTTGATTACATTTTCCTGATGGCTTACGATCTCCATGGAGCATGGGATGACTACTTGGGACATAACAGTCCTCTGTATGCAAGAGCAGGAGAAACGGAGGAAGACAAACTTCTTAATCAGGTATATTTACAGCATTAAATGGTATTAAATGGTAGTTGGGACTGTAAAAGAGATTTACCTTTACCAAAGGCATAACATACCGCACATAGAACGATAAAGAAAACCAATGTGTACATGGTAACTTTGTGACAAAAAGAACGGTTTATACAGAAGCTCATGAATAAGTACAAGATTGTGATCCGAAAAGGTGATATCTTTCTTTATATATGATATCCTTAGTTTCATGAGCAAGGTTTAAGATAAACACTCCCTCGTGAAAGTAGCAACCGTGACGATGAAAATAAAATCACAGATTTTTTTTTCATTTGAAAATATATGAGGTCGAACATCCTATCGTACAAACATAAGATTATGATGGAGAATAGTAAATATTCCTCAATATTTCTAAAGTTTTCATCAAAATATGAAGTAATATAAGATGGCCATCTATCGTGATGCAAACCTTAGACAAATCAATCGGAAGGAGTCAATACCGCAGGTGGAGAATCAGGTATGTTACTTTCAGAAAATGGAAATACGGTTGTGGTAACGCACAACGCATCATAAACTTCAATCTGCGCACGACACGCACGATATAGTATCGCGCGCACAACTGTGCGATATGATCGCATACTTTGTGCGGTTTGGTAAAAATGGTTTGCTAATATTATGGATTGAAAATTTAAGTTATTTCTTAATAGCGATCACAGTCTGGATCTGCATTAATGAGTCTTATCGTTTATAGTTTCACACCAAGTGTCGAATAGTGGTGCCTCGATCAACATAACTTTACCTGTATACGGGTATATATGTGACAGGTCCGGATCCATGTTCCCGTGTAACAAACAACAAAATGAATGAAAAGTAAAAGTAATACAGAAGTAATGAAAGTAAGATTTCCTTTCTGACGGTATGGGTTTTTAAATGATTCATTGCTGTATCATAAAAAAAGCCCGTCAATTTAATATCAACATATAGAATCTATAAAAAAATGTGTGTTCGTACACTAAGGCTGGTCACGTGTGGTTCTTTGTAAACAAAATACTTAAAATGCTAACAATTGTATCTATCAATTCAGTGTGTATCTGATATATATGCACGTGTCTAACCTATATATCAATGACTTAATTAGGAAATACGCTTATTTGTTTTCTTATATATCTAGAAAATAGATAAAAACAAATAAACCCTATTCCACACTTGTTGATATGTCATTTCTAAATTTATATCAACCACGATAGAATCGCACATTTGTGCGATAAAACCGCACAACGTGAGCACAAATGTGCGATAGCTTAATTTTCCTATCGTGCGCACATCTTTCATACATCATGCATACATCGTGCGCACGTTGCACTTCATGTAACGTTGTGCAATTCCGTAACTGTAACCATAAAAATCTGATTTTGAAATCATTGCTCAATTAATTTAGTTAACGGAAAGCTGTCAGGGTTGGCCACATTGTAAATATGATAAAGTTTGAAGGAAAAATTTATGAAGTTGGTGTCAGTTTTAATAGACAACAATATTTGTATACACAGGAAGTGAAATGGATAGCCTTGGCATAGTCTTTGTTAGATTGAACATTGCGTGATGTTAGTCAATCATTCCTTGTCCTTTAGAGTTTGTTAGTACTGTTTCCTATTCGCGTGTCATAATTATAGACCTTTCAATACACACCCTATGTCTGTGATTTCGTATCGTTTTACAAGGGGGTATGTATCCTGCGTTTAGGAATATGCTTCAACATTTATCGTAAATAAGACATATTTGATATATATCTCCTTTACATCGAAACGTGCATAGTGTTAGAGTAATGTCTGAAACAATGACTGTAGGAAAGTCCTTTCTCTAAATGAACTTTTTCGAAGTTGTTTTTTCTCGGCTGTGCTATGCTGTTTATGACATTACAGGTCATATCTCCGCTTAACACTCAAGGCATACACGACTCTTAATTGACTCGCCGTTAAAAATGGTCTCGAACGCTTATCAGAAGTTCGGCAATATTCGGTGATATACATTCGACCTTCAAGTTCTGGGAACCAATGAAGTCATAAAAAATAATTACTTCAATTCTTGGATTTTCATGTCAATTCAAATGAAATCAACAACGACGGGAAATCCTCTTACTATTTACGTTAACACCAAGTGTTAACATCAATCGAAAATAGGAAAATAAATGATAAAGTCACACTGGATATACTGACCGATTACAAAGTAGTCAAGGACATAAAAGGAATATTTCACTTTTTTATATTTGATCATATGTTTTGAGGTCAATTGCCTATCAAACGCAGATATTTAGAAATATCATTGCAAATAAGTATTAAATACATTTGGTTTTTCAGGTTGTATACATAATGCCATTAAAATGAAAAATGAAAATAACACCTTAATTAATAATGACACTGATTTCAATAAGCTTTCATGGCCCATGAATACCAACTAAAAGCAGTTCAAAGCTGATGTTCTCTTTTTTCAATTTTTTACGTTACCTGCGATATTCCTATGCTGTGCCTTCGTATTAATGCTACAATGGTAGCTATGGTGAGATTAACGTCATACAATTTATGATCTTAATTAGTTTTCATGGCACAAAAAATTACTGATGAATAATTAACAGTTGATTAACGATAAACTATTTTAGGCGAATGAAGGTAGTAGTTCAGTAAAGCTGTTTGAGGGCTAATGAAATCTTTATGTTTTCAAAATTCCTTCACAATTTTTATGGCCAAAAAAGGAGTCAATTGATTAAAAAACAGACTGAAGTTTTTTTCACTGTAATTTTTTCAACTGCATAGATATGTGCTGTTCCCTTATATGTTTCCTCCTTTGATAAAGTGTTGAAAGTAGGCTAGCCTTATCAATTATACCTTGCGCTCCCTTGTAACCACTACAACCAATAATCTTATCAGTAGGATTCTGTAGAATGACCCAGTTAGATATTTCGGATATACTGTAAACCAATTCTTTTTTCACGGTGATTAATTTTCACGATTTTACACGTAAGATGCGAAAATAAATTGGACATGAGTTGCTCCTGTTGAATAAAGCATCACAGGCAGCATCAAAACCCAATCCATTTGATCTAGAATAATATTACCTCATTCATTTTTGAATTTTTGACAACACGTCTCGAGATGTTTGGTGTTTATGGTTTGAATTTATTTGAATATGTTTTAGCAAACCTCCATCTCGAAGAGTCAGTGGCTAGGAAAGCAATTGTCAATTCCTTCATATTATTATCCGATATCGTCTTGTTATACTATGTATTTTTGATATAGTAGATTCGCTCTCGAAATTAGCATGAGTCTCTAATTAACTTTATATCACTATCAAAATCGTTCTAAATGTGTGCATAAATAAAGGACATAAATAACAAACCAAACTTCCTTTGATACGTTTTACTTGTTCACTATGACTCAAATCGTAACATTAAATTGATCCCTTTTAGGATTGGGCTGTTAATAACTGGTTGTCGCAAGGCACCCCGAATCACAAGCTTGTAATGGGCATTGGTACATACGGGCGATCATTTAAAATGTTGAGCCCGGATGGAAACAACATGGGGGATCCAGCCACAGGGCCAGGTACAGCTGGTACATTCACCAGGGAAGCGGGCTTCCTTGCATACTACGAGGTAAAGTATACAGCTCATCAGAAAAGTTTGAATCAGCGAAATCCAGCACTGGCACCTTCATTTTTTACGCTTCCAAACCCCCCCCCCCCCATCCATTACATGTGTTTTTCGTCCATCCGTCTGGTATATCAGAAGAAAACATATCCTCCCACAAATGATTAAGGAAAATATTGATTCTGAAAGACATTTGTTGACTTTGCCAGTAACTTAAGTTTGTCTTTTGTCACAACTGGTGTAATACCCTGCTCAACACTGTGAACAGTTTCACGAAGCCTCCAATTTGGTGTTTTTTGTTTTTGTTCTTGCTTGATTAAATTTCCTTAGTATTTATAACTTTCTTCATAATTTATCCCAAAAGTCTGCTGCTATCCTGAGATTTGGAATGACTTATTAAGTATAACCATCGGTTCTCTATTGTTTTCGTTTCTTCTTTTGACCATTTTTCTTCTGATCACGTAAGACATGTTGACATATGTCAAAATGGTTGGTGCCATAAAGTCATTATTTGTTCCTACTGTTAGTAAACAGTTCTATTTTTGACATGTAAACAATGACGACATGAAAAGAGTGACTATATTACCAAATCGTGGACATTTCTGAGCATCGTTAATAAGTAAATAAGATTCAGTTGCTTTTGTTTATAAGCACACATTGTTTTATTTAACTTAACAGCACTGACCTGTCCAATGCATCATTGATCAATATTGGTTACAGATATGCGATAATATCTTGAATAAAGGTTGGACGAAGAGAAATCACCCTGAACATTTGGTACCGTATGCCTTTAGCGGTGACCAATGGGTAGGTTTTGACGACGTGGAGAGCGTCAGATCCAAGGTGAGATTTGATATCACATCAACTATTGTTTTACATGTTTCGTGAAAGCACTTGAAACTTTCATGCAATTCCCGATAATAGAATTACGCATTAGGTTTCATTTAATAAACGTTATTCTTAAACATTTTCAATGATATTGAGCGAGAAGAGGGCCTACCAGGCGTCATCATAACCATAGATTTGGAACGCCGACAATGAAATTTTCTGTCTTTAATTAAACGGACAATAATGTCAGCCGAGTTCCCATCAACAAAACAACAATAGAATGAAAAAAATATATATGAAAATCCTACATTTTTGATAGTCATGGCGCATATTGTCTAGAAATTTCTGCAACTGAAAAGCTTACATTTGTCTTAGATATATAACAAGCCACATTATATTGTAATGAATACTACGTTAACATCGCAATTCTTACACCGAAGATATAGAAATGTCAAAATTCTTTCTTTTGATTTGTTTCATTAATGTCTCATAGAGTGACTCCGTTTTTGACAATCGTCATCTAGCCCTCACATACATCGTTAGGTATCACGGCGGTTATTTATTCATTGAAGCAATTTCTGTATGCTACTGTCTAGTGTGCGATAAACACTCTGTATAGATGCAATATATCATGCTGTTCTGGCGCGTTCTATTCTACTTTTAACATATTTTTTTTTTATTTCTTTGAGTGACTTCCCTTCCTTTAACAAAATGATCTCGACAGCCGATTGGGGACGAGAATGGTATGATGATTGTGCATGTTAAATGTGTAAAATGTATTTTTAGGGAAAAAATGATTAACCACTGATCGACATGACCTGGACTGTTTTCAGACGAATTATATAAAAGCCAACGGTCTTGGTGGGTCGATGGTCTGGGCCATAGATTTGGATGATTTTACAGGATCCAAATGTAACCAGGGAAAATACCCATTGCTTACAGCGATAACAGATGAGCTGGTATCAGATGTGGTACCAGATATGTCAACACAAGTACCAAATATGTCTTCCTCACAAGCACCTACACAGGTTCCCTCACAAACTCCAATGCCTACTCAGCCCCCTCCACAAACATCAGAACCTACCGTGGCTCCCCCACAAACATCAGCACCTACTGTTGCTCCTCCACAAACATCAGCACCAACCGTGGCTCCTCCACAAACATCAGTACCTACCGTGGCTCCTCCACAAACATCAGTACCTACAGAGGCTCCTCCACAAACATCGTCTCCCACCGTCGACCCTCCAAAAACGTCAGCCGCTACCCAAATGCCAACGACTGGAAATGTGCCCGAACAAACCATAGCGCCTACAGATGCACCATCAGCACCTTGTGGTATTTGTTATTTTGCTATGTTATATTTTGCAACTTGATCTTCACTGTGATTAATCTAATGGTAATGCTTTATAATGAGAAAAAGCAACGAAATATGTGTTTTATGGACAAATATCCAGCTTGTTTTGCATTTTTTGTTTTGTTTTTGTTTTTATAATTATTTGATTTTTTTTCATGATAGGTGAAAATGTTAGTTGTCCGTCTGCACATTTAATGGGTAACAAATGTGATCCAAACAAATACTTCGTTTGCGATCATGGTGAACCCCTAGAAAGGTCCTGCCCCTCAGGTCTCATCTGGGACGCAGATATCAAGACATGCAATTATCTTGATTTAAGTAAGTTCTTCGTTGTATACAGTGTTCTTTTCTGCCATCAATATTAAAGAGAACAATTTACGGTTGGTAAAAACGGATGCCAGTTTGATACCGCTAAATTTTCATAGAATATTATTCATAATTTACTTTTCTTGTGTTAACACAAACTCAAGTTTATTTGTAACTAATAAATAAGCCAGAAAGAGGTCAGTAGGAGTAAGATGGGTTTTTAAAGATATTGTTACTTCTTTTTTGTGGAGGTAATGTATTGGATCCGGATCAACATGTAGCAACAACCAACGCCCCAACATTCTCACCAACGTCTTCGTCAACATCCCCGACGGCGGCGACGTTTTCGCCCACATCAATGCCGACGTCCATTCCCGGAACCCAAATCTGTGGTATGTGTGGTCAGCTGACAATGGCAATTTAGCAGAATAACATAGTTATGACGACATTTTCATAAATTTTGATTGTATACACATATGTTTAGACCAATCAGAAGTTATCGCGACAAAATATAAACATAACCATGTGCAAAGTGGTATTGTTGAAACAAGTAACATGGGTGTCTGTGTAAGCAGCCAAGAACACTTCTATTGAATAAAAAAAACTGTCTGTTGTCAAATGGATGTGAATTGAGTATGTAAACATATCAATGGGTATAACTCGTTTCACTTCAAAAATCTCTCACAATCGTCGTCGCCCGATGTAGGCGACAATTCTTGCAACCGACCAAACATTTCAACTCTGCAATTATGGTAAGAGTTAGTCGGCTAGATGACTGATTTGTATGATTTTAATTGTCGTTTTGAATTTGTCCAGAGTGTTTTCGATATAACGTCCTTACTGACACCAGTGTAGATACATTTTATTGACAATATAATAGATGACTGATTTGTATGATTTTAATTGTCGTTTTGAATTTGTCCAGAATGTTTTCGATATAACGTCCTTACTGACACCAGTGTAGATACATTTTATTGACAATATCCCCACTTTCTCTACAGCTGCACCGTCCGTCTGTCCGACTGGGAAATTTATTGCAGACCCATGTGATCAGAGTTGTTACTATCAATGTGTATTCAGCCGAGGATATCAACAGTGTTGTCAACATGGTCTTCGTTGGGACACGACCATCAACGCCTGTACGTATTAAGGTGTATATCACTTTTTGGAATACGTGATATTATACCGGTCAATTAACACATATTTTATCGGAATAAAAGACGTAGACATTTGCTAATTCGGTGTTCTGTTATTACCAAAACGTATGTCTGTTTCTTCTTGGTTAAACACAGAAAAAATTATAACAACATAAACAACAAGAGTAGCAATTGCAGAGAAATGCCGTAACGGCTTTGATGTTATCGATGAAATGTAGGAACAAAATCAGCAGCGCGTTGTAGCCATTTTCACAAGATTGCTTTATTTCATACAACTTGACCGTACAAAACAATCTGAACGATAGTATAGTTAATGGTACAGTTAAATGGATAATTTCAAAAGATTTCCCTAATAACAGTATTATGTCATGGTGGTCTGAATAGTGGAATATATGTAAAACTATAAATGAAGCAAAGAATTGAATTATGGAATTTATAAAAGAGAACGTTTCAGAACAGTACCTGCTAATAAAATCAACTAATTGCAAAGATAAACTTCAAAGGTTTTTATTCTTCCTAAATAACAAGATCGTTTAGAAATAAACAAATGTAAGACTCGAAATCTAAAGTTGCAAATAAGCATAAAGCAAGATGAAATAATAATATAACTCTTTAACGAACAAATATAATATGAGCAGGTTTCCCGATATTAAAAACATTTTCTTCATTACGGCCAAATATAATATCTTTGATACAGGATACATGCTTTATAGTTCAAAGCAGGTTAACGTGTAAAGAAATGTTCTAGCATGTTACCATAACAATGATAAAGGAATGAAAATTAAATCATCATCAAGGATAAGATAAGAAGTTATTGAATCGATTCATATGCTCGGTCTTTTCTCGGTAACAAAACTGCAATATGTTTCTTAAATGATCTCAATTATCAACGAACAGGTATTTAAAAATATAATAGTTTTCTAGAGTATTTTTTTTTTTTTTACATCTCTTCTGTTTTACTCGCCATCTTTTACATCATTAGTAATACATAATATGAAAATCAACTTAAAGTTTATCTTGTATGTTTAGTGTGTGGATTACGTTCAATCTAAGATTTGACGACTTTGTTGTGCATATAGATTGATAAATATAGTTAGTGTAACAAGAAAAACGATTTGTGTGTATGTGCCTATGCCCTTGAATATCGACTGGCCTCTGATCCTTCCTTTTACAATACTTCATGATTATCTTTGAGTCGTGTTACCTGTTCTGACCTACATCCTTTTTTAGATTTTGCATGAGGCATACTGACCTTATTTTATAGTTAAAACAATTCTCACTTACCCTTGGTCTTTTGTTAATCTACCTTTCCTTAAGGACTTGTTCTAAGACATGATAATGAACGCAGGTTAACATTTTTGTTGGTTTTTATCACAAATCCAGATGTTAGGATATGTTGAATTCTCTTGAAATAGAAATCGTTTCTATAATTAAATACATTTTATTTGGACATATGCTAATTGGAAATTGAATATAAATCACTTAAAGGACTGCAACCAATGCACTAAACATACGTCAGTGTAAGATACTCCTGATAATTGTAATTCTAGTGTTGTGCATTTCAGACAAGTAGATATTGGTAAACAAATCTAACTTTGCTGTATATACAATAAAGAAATCTCGGTAACGGAAACTATTTTCAGTGCTATGTAAAACAGTACTCTCATTAATTTTCGAATTTTATCATCATTACATTTTTGGAAAATTTTACCTTTGAGCCGAATGTTTTCAGTGAAAGTCATAAATTTTGTCATTCTATGTCCTCGAGGAATGAAGATCAGTAAGGGGCATATTGTTGTTTTCTGTCTGTTTGCCTGTTTTTGAGGGATTTCGGTCAAATAACATCAAATCTGAAGCGAATTAGGAGTATAATGAATATTGTAAATATAACGTCCCCCAAAGAGAATCTTAATTGAAACTTAATTCAAATTCGTTGAAAATAGGCCAAAATATGAACAAAAGAAAAAAATAAATAAATGAAGACTCATATAAAATTATATAAGTGGTTTATCTAAGACACTCGATGCACGTCTTGGTCTATGCAAGGAAGTTATGTCAAACGCTCCCAGATGAAGACAATGTAAACAACAGCGAAACCGGAGCAACCAGGCAAACTAACGAGCATCAAACACGTCCGACTTCATTTGTCAAACAAGGATGTCATAATCTTCATCAGTCTGCATCTCTACCTTGAGTTGAAGAAACGGTTCTGTTGCCATGCAGAAATGGGAAACTCATAGAAGGAAAATCATTACATTTATCTTACAGCTTGGTAAAGCGAGGTAAGCAGCTGATGTAGAAGATGTAGAAGAGTCTGTTGTGTCCTTGATTTCCAGCTCTGGTGGGCACATGCTACGGACCTGTCAATAAATTGCTGGTTATGTTAAAAAAAAAGTGAATGCAAGGTCTTTGTGACCTTTTTGTATCAGTTCAGTGATAAAATCAGAGTCGTTTATAAACAAAACAAGCCAGTCAGGAATGGGGCATACTTTGTTCCCATACATGTCGATAAGACAATATCTTCAAAAAAAACTATTGTCATTGAGAAATTCGATTATTTTTTGTAATTTTGTCCTCCGTATATTTCCAAGTTGATTTGGACGTATTGTTCACTTCCAACTATTTGTTCAGTTGGTCACCTCTTCTAAAACAGAAAAATATCATGCAAAGAGAACGAAGTCTTCTTTCAGTTTATAATTTGGGTAGTGTAGTATACAGAATGGAAAAAATTAAAGTCTTGTTAGAATATTGGTCAAATGTTTCTTGGAAATTATTGCACCCACAAACCATTAATCTCACGTTTTGGGTAAACATTATCACAATAAGACTGTAAACTTAGATTTGATATTACTAAGAATGTTAGTAAAAGCTTGTACAGGATTTCGTTGAACAATTAGACGACCCTACAATAAAACGCTGTTTATATGGATTCTTGTAATGTCTGTATACTAATCATAAATTGGCAATCTAACTGATTGTAATACAGAAGCATGATTTGCCAGCAGACCCTTTTTTGAAGACTGGATAATATGAAGGTATTATTAAAAGTCGGATTTTGACCAAATTTGGTATATCAGTCAGATGTCAAGTGAGTTCGACATTCGTTAAAATCCATTCTCGAGTTAAGGGACTAACTAGATAATTTATTTGTTTCCGTCAAACAATTGAATTTTTACAGTTAGATTTGTTCTGAAATTAAATCTGTCAAAATTAGTGAGTAATGAAATTAGTCAAAATATGTGAACATTTGTCAGAGTAAAGGAATAAAATAATATGATTACAACTAACTTTAACAGTCAGATTTATATGGTATTTGGCATAGTGCGTTATATTAGGAAGGTCTCAAATTGGTTAAAAACCGTATCTGCCAGAACTACGAGACTTTAAAATAAAAATTATTGTAATAAACTGCTAAAAAATACCCAACTTCGTTGGGCAGATATACATTTACATTAGTTGCATTTCGCTTACATTAATTTGTTGAGTATATCCTATAGTCTCGATACCAATCAATATCTTAAACCCTTTTAGAAGATGTCTTCTTATCTAACACATTCTTTCCTAATGACCTTTCATTGGATAACCTTATTTCAAAAGCCTTTCAGTTGACCGTCCTAGTCATTAACAGTGACTTCCTCTCCGAGGCATATCTTCTTTCATTTTGCTATAGTATTCCTTCAAACATTTTGTATCACTTCATTCAAAACTGCACACAGGTTATCTTTACATCTCAGCTATACGTTGTGCTGATATTGTCATTCTATTACAGACAATAATGACCTAAGGCCACATTTTCTACATTGTTAATGGCCATGTAAAGGTAAATACGATTCTATACGGGTAGGTTAGATGCTATTTATATTAACTGCTAAATCAACTGGCGGGTGACGGTAAGTAAAACATTTGAATATGGGCCGATATTGCATTCGTTAAATTCAGAATATGCATACTTAAAATTCAGAATATTAAGTTTATGTGCGGTCGGATAACTAAGGTTACCACTAAATGTTTGACGGTTAACGAATATTCTCTGCTTTATAATTTTAGTTTGATATATTCCTCCCAATAGCCCTTTATATCAAGTATACATCAGTGTTAAAACAAATCAGGCTGAAGTATAATAGATATGGAGCTTTCCTTTGTAGTTTCTCTGAAAATATATGGGTAATATTATCGTTCACATTAATTTAATTATTACTTTAAATAATTTATACTAGGCGCATCATTACAAGATGTCCATTACCTCCCTTGACCTTTCGGTGTTGGTGTGGCTTATGGGTATGTATGTATATTTTTCTATTCTCATTTGATGAAATCGTGCTTATTGTATAGGCTCTTGTCGGAGCAGCTGAATCAAATCTATGTTGCAACAAGCGCTGTTCGTCGAACTGTTCTTGTCAAGTAACTTATCTCGTCAGTGCTTGCTATTCACGGGCATTTGCGAGAATTGGTATTTGATGAGTCGGTAACCAGTAGCGCTTAAAGTACATACCATTTTATTGATAATTGTGTTAGGTATATATACATAAATATAAACACATTTATTCTAAAAAATATTATTAGAATGATGAAAAAGCATACTAAGATAAAAAGTTAATGAAACTATAACCCTGTGCATTGGTTATGTTTGGAAAAATAAACCAACAGATTTGCAGCATTCTTATCTGTTCAATATGCAACAAATCGTCTAGAGGTTTTTTATTAGTTATATTTTATACTTAAGAGAATGAAATGCGGTATATAGACTTAAGAATAAAGAGGAAAGAGTGAATAGATAAATAAATATACACACATATATATATTACCTGTCTACTTCCTATGCAGGTTTAACCACTGGAGAATACGTCCGTGTGTGTTACCACAACATAATGTCACAGGACCGCCAGTCTGCCGGTCAGTTCCTGCCTGAGGATATCAACCCACATCTCTGTACCCACATCATTTACGCCTTCGGTCAGATTTCTAACAACGAACTTAATGGAACTCACGTGAACGACGAGAGTACGACTGATGGCCCTGGTGAGTATAAGGTATAATGCCATCAAGTTTAATAATCAACAGAGATGAATAATGTTGGATACGCATTTGTCTTTTTATGGGTTTACCCTATACGTACAGTTGATTTGATAGTATGTGCTGTTGAGACTTTATTTTATCTCATTATACTTGGAGATTTTAAAATAGTAGAATAGACAGCAAATAGAAATAAGAAAGAAGATAACATTGGACGAACTTGTAACGATACAAATTGTTTTCAATTTAGTTATTTGATGATTGTAGGCATGTTTGAAAGAACTGTTACCCTAAAAAAGCAGAATCCACATCTTAAGGTCCTATTGGCTGTCGGGGGATGGCTGCAAGGAAGCAAATCGTTTGCCAAGTTGGTTGAAAAAGAGTCTAACATGCGTTTATTTGCCAACAACGCTGTCACGTTTCTAAGAGAGCGAAAGTTCGACGGCTTTGACATAGACTGGGAGTACCCTGGTCACCGCGGAAGTCCGCCTGAGGATAAACAACGTTTCACCACTCTGATACAAGTTTGTCCTTTGCTATTTTAAGTTTGTTTTTGTATGAAGCTTGATATCATTTACTTGGGTTGACCAAGGTTTATATGACGGTAAACCTTACACTTACCTTACACATTAATCTATATGTTAGAATTTGACCAATTTTCAATTTCTCTTCTAATTTTGTAAATTTTTCGTCCTTGTTAACATTTAAAAGTCCTCGAAGGTCTAAGTGTTTGTATGATTAATTAATCATTATATGGCATAAAACGTATTCATTTTACAAATTAGGACCTAAATTTGCTATTTACTTGTGGTTAGATACATAGCTTTATCAAGAGTATTCAGTTATGATAATGTAAATTTGACCATCTTTATTTCCTTCTGAATCATGACCAAACTTGAAATTCAAATTCTGGCTTTGATAAGAAATATTCGTTTATCTTGAACTCAACTTCTACTGCAAATATTTCGCATGGGATTTATTTTCGTGATTATTACGCGAGGAAAGTCGATCACGTATCAAATCTATCATAATTATTGGTTCGAAATAAACTATGGATGGCATCCATGTTGATCCAGTTTATGATAACAAAGTCCTTTAAAATCCAGTTCTCTGTTAGCTCATGATTATGTATTCTCGAATATGTCTAGAGAGAAATGTTCGCGAAATGAAGTATTCGTGATTCTAAGTGATTAACAGTATAACAAGTAATTCAGGGACATTAAACATGAGGTATAAACACTAATAGCAATATGGTTAGTGGTCCACTTATCTACAATACCAGTTTTGTCATATCTTGTAGTCATAACATGTAGTTATCGATGATTTAACAAATTATCATTTGTGCACAATTAAAATAAACGTTATGACATTTAATCGAAAATTACGGAATGAATTATAGGTCGAATGCACCTTCTAGTCTTTATTTTTGACTTCATTTCGACCATGTTTTGATATTTCTTAGTCACCACCTAGGTTTCAACCAATTAAGTCCCAAATACTGCAGAGTCTCCAGAGGTACAAATCATATGTATTGTGCTGTTTCATTTATCTATTTGCTGTTTTGTATAAAAATATTTTAAGATCTATTTAATGGTACTTTTGTAAAATCCATTATATCGTACATGGATACATCAAAGTTGAATTTGACATGATAATGAAAATATTGAATTATGCTGTAGATTCTGCGAGACACCTTTAACACGGAAGCGGCCAGCACGAGTCAACCATGTCTGTTATTGACAGCTGCAGTAGCGGCGAGTCAATGGATAACGCAGTCTGCGTATGAAGTGGACAAACTAGTCGGGTATATAGAGGAATCACACCTCCTTAATCAGATTTTGTATTTAGACAAAATAGTGTGTATTTTTTGTACTGATACATCGTCTTATATGTGATAATAATATTAACGTAGTCTCCATACAATTGTTGCTAATGCATAACATATACCGGTTGTACTATCACATCAGTCCCCTGAATCGTATTGAAATATACCGATCTAATACAGGCAATTTATAGCATTATTTTCCTTTCGTATAGATATTTTCTAATATATATGTATGTGTGTAAATATCATTTGGCATTAAAAAGGCAATAATAAAAATTTAAAAACATTCGTGTATAAATAAAATATGCTTCGGTAAATAATTTACATACTGATACACTCCATTACATTATTTTTTATAATCGATGTTGGTTCCATGGTGCTAGCTATCTAATGCCGGCAGGAACGTTTTATCAGTGTCAGTATCGTTACATGACTGACTTGGCAGAAACTTGGACTTCATATTTTTGATGTCCTATGACTTACATGGACACTGGAACCATCGTCTTGGACACCATAGTCCTTTATACAAACGAACTGGTGAGGTGCCACCTGATAGTCTTCTTAACCAGGTAGGTAAAAGACACACCACCTACAGGACTAATGTCGTATGTTATAGGTTCACATCATGATGAACAGGCTTGAATGTTTTATTGCTTCGTTTTTCATTATAATGTAAATATTGTTTTTGGTTTTGAATTATCAAATTCGAAGAAAAATTACCAAAAACATTGAACAAAAATTATTTTCTTTATAAATTTTGTTCATCATATCTGATTCGTAATTCGTAAAACCATCAAGCTGTATGATAAACATAATGATTTCAATATTCCTATCATGAATTTTCCATTTCTGGATAGCATTATTCCTGCATCTCCAATCTATGGTATTTACATCTCACAGTTGATTCTATGTCCAAGGGCCTAATCCCATTATCACAGTTTTCGTGGAAGAAGTCAACGGACTGACACACTCGTAACACTAACGTTTCAAAAGATACAAGTTGATGAAAATTATTGGGAAGTTTTATTGTCGCCATTGAGATCTTATTGAGAAATATTCTGTTTCTTTGTGTAACATGACGCTGGATATGTTTGATGCTCGGTAGTTTGCCTGTTGGTTCCGTTGTTGTATGCCTTGTTCTCGTTTGACATTACTTACTTAGATTGACCAAGGTTGACATGGCGGTTATCGTCGATGAAGCAGAAGACGTTTACTCTTCCGGAACACTTGGTCTTATTCTCCTTGAACTTTTTTCATGAGTGTCTATATAAATCTTTCTTTTGTTCATATTTTGCCATAGCTTTATGGAATATGAGTTTGAATTACGATGTTGCTATGATGGTATTTTCTTCATTTTTGTTTATCATATCTTGAAAAAGTAGTAGAATATATATGTGTTTGGAAATAACACTAATGCCCAAGATTTCTTCATAGGACTGGGCGGTACATAACTGGATCTCTTTGGGTGCCCCTCGTGACAAGTTGGTAATGGGAATCAGTTTATATGGACGGTCCTTCACCACATGGTGGCCCTCTGATCAACCAAAGAAGCTGGGAACGGGATGCAAAAGTGGGGGGACACCTGGACAATACACAAACGAAACGGGCATCCTCGCCTATTACGAGGTAAAAGTTGATAACAAGATACCACAAGTTTGGTCACATTCGTTTTCACTTGATAAATCCATCATTTGATGTTTTATTAAATAGCGTATTACGGCGAAGGGAAATGCTAATGTAAAATTAACTGAAATATCGATAAAGACGATCTTTATAGCTGATGTTATATTAAATCTTTTGAGGGTAATAATCGGAATTTATATTTCTTATCAAAATATGCAATCAATTGCTTAAGTTGATAGATAATGAAGTTTTACATTTAGTAGCTCATCCAGTTAAGGCGTTTCAAAGTTATGATAATTTTCAAATAAATGAAATATAACATTATTACATCCTTGTTTTACCATTATTACAGGTATGCGATAATATAAAGAATCAAGGCTGGACGAAGGAGCGTCACTCCGAACACAAGGTGCCCTATGCCTACAGCAGTGACCAGTTTGTAGGCTACGACGACGAAGAGAGCGTTAGAATTAAGGTAATAAAGTTAAATACTATCTAATTCTGTGTATATCGTTAATGTATGTTTAGTTGATATTGTTCTATCAATGTAATAGTAGATGTGAAAAGAATTTGCAAAAAAAAAAAAAACAAAACAAAACAAAAACAAAAACAAAACAAAAAAACAAAAAACCAAAATCGGTATATAAAGGTTAATCTGATTGTTTCTGAATGATTTTCGTATACCTAATTGTCAACCAGCTAAAAAACAAATAACATTCTAACTACTTGCTGTTATAAATATATGTAAGCTGTGCTCATTTTTATAGCACAGTGTTCTAAGTAGTGGTTTGATTCAGTCATGGCTTCAGTATAAGGATGACTTTTTATCTATTCATTAGGAAGTTCTGTGTTATGTCTTTGTATGTTTATGTATGCGTAACTCACTGTTTCCAAAATACCATTGATAAAACTACCACTTGAATCCACATTTTCTCAAAACCAGAGTGAATATATAAAGGCGCAGGGTCTTGCTGGGGCAATGGTTTGGTGTCTTGACCTAGATGACTTTAAAGGTCGATTTTGCAACAAAGGTCCCTATCCTCTCCTGCAGAAGATAAATGATGTTTTAAGATCAGATCAAACAACAACGAAGGTACCGCTACCAGCAACGTCTTCCAAAAGCACACTATCAAATCTAACATCTGCTCCTAAAATAACACTAAAGCCAACAACTGTTCCGAAGGGAACGCCGAAACCAACACTTGTTCCGAAGAGAACACCAAAGCCTACACTTGTTCCGAAGGGAACGCCGAAACCAACACTTGTTCCGAAGAGAACACCAAAGACAACACCTGCTCCCAGCGTTCCTCCAACAGGTTCATCTTGTGGTATGTAATTAATTGAAAATAATGATTATATGCATACGTTTATCAATAGTTCATATTGTAATTAAAGAAGATGTTCACATGACACTACTATTCTTCACATCTACAGAGGTGCCCAAGCACTGCCCACACGGAGGCTACCTACCAGACCCATGTCACCAAGGATGTTATTACCACTGTGCGCACGGTAATGCTTACCACCGATGTTGCGTTACAGGCCTTCACTTCGACAGGTTCCGGAAAATCTGTGTATATCCAGTATAGCTGTCTTTCCTCTGTACTTAAGACGGAATTGGTGATATAATAAATTTGACAATAAAAACATGAATCAAAAGACTGTGTAATATCCCGTAAAGAAAGTTTTCTTAGTATCAAATAACTGAATTAACATTAAATTCTCAGTAAAAACATGTATGTTACCTGAATTGATACAGGGGCGAGCCCTCTACACATTCAATACATATCAAGATTTTTCTATTTTGCGAAACAACAACGAATCTTAAAAATGAGCAGAGACAATAATAACCAGCGACTTCAATCATCAATTCAAACAACCCTCTTCTAATTAGATATGCATGTGAAGAAGACAGGCTCCAAACTACGTCCTTTGTAACCATATAAACATCATATAAACACAAAACATTCGCTTGGTTATTGTTTCTTTTGACTGTAATAGATATAATGACAAATTCGAGAACCTTTTATTTCAGTGATTGAATTTGATAAGATATCTTTTTCCTGGAAAATCTTCTTCAACTCATTTAGTTAATATATTGTAGTCTTTGACAATGTACAGCATGTACCCGAATGTGAAAGATAACCGTGTAGGTGCGCTGCTGAAACTCGAGTTATCTCCCTTCCCTCATCGTTCACCAGTCTGCTGGTTTTAAGAAATCATACGATTGCGTGATCATAAGGTGCACATGCAAATTATTCAATCAATTATTGTTTTTTTAAATGAAATTTTGATTGACGTCTTTATCTGTTGTATAGGTACATTAAAACATGCGATAAACAGCATAACACACTGAGTATCGTATATGTACAAATAATAAGTTATCAAAGAAATATATAGTGATTCCCAGCGTGACATATAAAAAGTAGACGAACTGTATGTATGTCTTTGGTTTATCTACAAAACAATAAAATATGAACATGTCAACCTATCATAATCCAAACTCAAATTCAATAAAACTAGGTCAAATTAGCATAAAAGATAGATTTACATGGAGATGCCTGAAAAAGTACAAGGAACCAAATGCTTGTATATGAGAGTTTTGAAATCAGCTAAGTTAGTTTCGTTAAAGTACTAACAAACTAAATAGAATTCAATAGATACGCTTATGCTTTTTTGAAATCATAACAAAAAAAATCCTTATATACAAATGTACATAGATACATGTACATGGATATCTAGTCTATATGAGATGTATGATAAAAAAACCAAACAAACAGAGGAAAGAAAAGAGGTGTCGGTGTTTCATAAATCTCCTCGAAAATGAAAATTCATATAATATTCTGTTAAAAAAAAAAGAAATTCTCGTAAGCACCATTTAATTACATAGATATCAAATCTATATTGGAGATATCTTCATCTTGTTGTGTACTTCGAGGTTTAGATAACTGAATACGGATAAGTAATTAATGATTGGATTGATACTGATGTTGAAGTTTCACATTATCGTGTGCTGAGTCTGGTTACACGTATCTATATAAAATAGAATTGTTTTGTTGAACAATAAAACCGCTACTGTGTCGAGTGTTGTTACATTACACCTTTATTCACTGTTACTATAACACTGTCCTGTAAGTTTTCTAACCGAACCCAACACCGCTGTGACTTTGAGTGTTTTTGGATTTGAATACTTGTCAATTTCAAAGACCATTTAATAGCTATTAACATGAATTCATAAAGAACTTGTAAAACTCATCCTAATTCTAATATATTGACTCCGAAATCAGTTTAAGTGATTTGAAAGTTTGCCTTATCAAAACATGTAGCAAGGAGTCAGGACCCCATTGATATATATAGCAATCTCCGTCCAAGCAGTCTCCGTGTTCAACTGCAGCAAATGGTGGGGTTATGCACCCACGGTCAACATAAATAATGTGGTTAACTGTTTATAAATACATTTAGAACGGAATGTAGTTTGTTTTTCAGTAGACGTAAGGAATGCACCCATAATTTAGCAACATGTGTAAAAATATTGGTATATAGATAAATATTCTTTATATACTATGTTATCGACATAAATACCAGCAAGCCTCTACCACTGGGAAATCTGATTTATTCGTACAGAGTGCAAAAGACACTTCCGCTGTCAATAGTATTATTGGAATAGTCACAAAGTCAGAGATTGTTTTTTAGTTTATGGAACAAAAACAAACCACCGTTTTAGCAGTTATATGTCCTTATTCCGGCTTCTGCTCGAAAACGACCACCCAAATATCTCGAAAATTAATCCGTATCTAGACGGATATTTGTAAAGAGCTCGTATTGTTTACAATTTGCACTTATTATTTTTAATTTGTTTGATCTTCATAGAATCACTGAAAATGTTTGTTTTAAAAGTAAACTACGTTATATGGGGGTATTGACTGTGTCGCCGCTAGAAATCTAGCTACATACTTGACGCTCTAGAGTTTTCTTTTCAAAAGTGTCATATAATCGGCGAAGTACGATATTAGAATATCTAAGATTGTTTGTACCTCCTACCTCGAAAACACAAGACGCGGATTACCACAAGGACATAAACACATGTAATAAACCCGATTGTTATTTGATTAATAGCGTCGATGATTTTAATATCGCTTATACACTTTGAAAGGTTGTGTATTAGAGGGATTACGCCACCTGTGATACCGCTGTTATGGCCAGTCCTTCAAATATATCTCCTCACGCGGCGGGAGATATGACTTTTGTATCGCCCCTCGCGGCAGGAGAGACGACTGTTATGGGCAGTGTAACTCATGCAGCGGCGGGACGTGGCTGTGATGGGCAATCATAACAAAAGACCGGTCTGATCTTCATACAGCTAGCGGCACCTAGCGGGAGATATGAGTGTCAGGGACGGTAACATTTAAAAATTGATAAAGTGTTTCCTATGAACAACAGTAGTAAGTGTTTTCTGTAACTATTACACGCTTCACTGCAATTGCTTTGATTTTCCTGCGCATGTTCAGGCGGTATCAATTGTTCATATTCATCATCCTGTATGACCCGAGATATAGGACTATGTTACCAGGAATCACCTATTCAACCAAGCCTGATGAATATCAGAGAAAACTCATGCACAAAAAGTATAAAACAAGATAGAGGGACAGGAGAATGTGGTTACCAAGATTATTTTATAAGTATAATTAATTGAAACAAATACTGTAGGTACTTTTAAGTATTCAGGTATCTAAAACTAAACACCTACAGCTTCAATAGCGTTGTCACTTGTGTTCTGATCGGTATGTAAACATGTAGAAGGAGGATACACTCAACTGTTACACAGAAGGATACTACAAAACAAAAGTAAAGTTGTGTACCAAAAGTATGGAAAAAAAAAAGCTAAAAGACGAATTCCTTTATATAACCAACATATCCACTAGTGTAAAAAACCGAAAAATACAAACATGTTAACATAACCATACCTCAAAGTCAAAATCAATTCAGTAGGGCAAGATATGAACGAAAGAAAGATTAACACGGATACTCATAAAAAGGTACAAGGAGAATAAGACAAGGCATTCCGGAATACTAAGCGTCTCCTGCCCCTTCAACGACACTAGTCATATCAATCTTGGTCAGTCCTAGTAATGTCATTTTCTAAATTGAGAACAAGGCATACAACAACGGAACCAACAGGCAAACTAATCAGCATTAAACACGTCTAGCTTCATATTGCACAAAGAAACAGAATATTTCCCAATGAGATCACTACACCTTTCAAATGATTTTCACCAACCTGCAGTTTTTGAAACCATTTGTCACGAGTTTGTCAGTTGACGACACAAAAAAATAGTGATAACAGGACATGTAATCACATTAGGTTGGGGATGTAGTTATGTTGCTATCCAGAAATGGAATATTCACAATAGGGCATTTGAAATCACGTTTATCATATAGCTTGGTGGAAAACTGTCCATGTTGGTCTCGTTGAAGGAAAAAACAAAATATTTCTGTCTCTGATGGGCATATAACATGGACGTGGTCAAGAAATATCTTGCTATTTATAAAGACAGAACGTCATCAATATATCTGAAAGCGAAATTAACGATTTGCCCGTTCATTTTGACGTATTGTGATAAGCCCTTCGTGAAACTCAGCCTTGTTTGAACATAAACCAACATACACTATAGTAAGAAATTGTAACAAAAAGAGAGAAGAAAAAAAGACAAACAAAGAAAACACAAAAAGTTCACCTCATATGGTAATATAGTACTTCATAGAAACGTTTTTCCAACAAATATGACGTTATTTTTGCAAAAGGCGTTCCCGGGATTACTCTGAATTAGCATAATGTTCCGTCAAGGGATCCCGCCAAAAATCTTGCATCAGATCTGGCTATGAATACGCACTGCATCAGTTTCGTAAGAATATTTGTTTAATGAAACGATTAACTTGTCAAACAAGTGTAGGTGTAGAGGATTCTTGAATGAAAGCATGGACAAACTCATAGATCAAAGGATTTTTCGGGAACTTGTACAATACATCACGAACACAAACACCCGAAGTTAGTATAAGTAGATATATTGAGCTATATTAATCCACGAAATCAAATGTCCACGAAATAGTACTTTTTGCCCTTTTTTAAATAACGAAAATTGAGCCGCCTCACGAAAATATATGATCTCACAGAAACTACCCATAATCTTCTTTACCTGATATTGATAAGTCGATTCCATTCTGAAAAAAACCCAAAATAATAGTTACATTGTCTATAAGCACAATATTAGCTCGCAAAAAAGGATAACGTTATCTTATAGTCATTATGCCTTCTTGAAGTATCCTTAAGAATTTATT